TTCTTCTTTTTCTTCTTTTTCTTTGTCTTCTTCTTTCTTTCCCCGCGAAGAGCTTGCTCGCACTCTAGTCCCTTTGTTTGGGATCGTCACGCAACTCTCTTCCCTCTCCCTTCTCACAGATTAAATGTTCAGTGTCTGTTACTCCCTCGCCGCTCCCTAAGCAGGTAGTTTCAACGTTAAGAGTTACTTTCAACACAGAAATTTCAGTGTGTCTGCGGCTCGCTTCTGTCAGGGAGTATGGAACAATCTCTTTTCGTCTGTTAGTGACAGATCCAGGTGTTGAATTTTTCTTCCGCGAAGGATTTGAACGTATCACGTGCAAAAAGATAATTTGCCAGATGCTGATATGTGGGAAAAAAGTGAGGTGTACTAAGGACCTCACTGAGAAGCTGGGATATCTTACTTATCACCGATGGGCGAAAGATGGGTGTATCATTATCGATCCTGCCAGGCTAAGATTCTCAACTTTTTTGGTCCAGCTGCAACGTTGTTTATGACCGCAATGACTATACTCTGGAGTCCATGTTGAACTTGATTCATTCAATTTAATCTGTATGACAACAGGGCTTGTCACGCGAGGAAGGTTTGCGTAACTATGAGTAGACATTCCTCACCCCCCCCCCCTACCCAATCTCCGTCAAAAAATTTAACGTTAGGTTAATGGGAGTGGTGAGAACGAGAGGAACTGTGAAAGAGAGCTAGACGAATAAAGTGGATGATTATGATTTTAGGATAACGGTACACTTAATTTTATTTTTTATTTGTTTGACAACAGTTTTTGAACACAACAACAATGTGTACAAGTTTGTTTTACCTGAGGATGACACACGCACGTGGTACGAAGCTGAGACACTTTGTAAAACACGAGAAAATGGTCATTTGACGAGCCTTGTTACTCTCAACGAAATCGAATGGGCAGACGGTATAATTAAAAGCATCGTGCGAGATCCAAGTTCGAAGGTCAAACTGTGGATTGGAGGGAGCGACCGTAGAATCAATGATGCGTGGGATTTTGTCGATGCACAACCTCTCCGGTATAATGTTGTTCCCTGGGCACCCGGTCAACCGAGAAGGCCCCTACAGCAAGCTCCTTACGAGTTTTGTGTCTGTCTGGAATTTGAAGGTGATCGCTCGAAATGGTACGTGGAGGATTGCTTTGAGGTCCATGGCTATATCTGTAAGTCAGAGGGTAGGTTGAATACCTTTTACTCTGTAAACCACAGGGAAAGATGGAATCGTTCCCCTTCGTCTGCAATCACTTATCAGTGGCGGATCCAGACCTATATAGCTCTTTATAAAGCCGGGAACGCTAAATGTCTCCAACCCTTCGGGGTTGGGCCCCCCTTCAGGTCCAAATATGTCTTGCCCTCGGGTCTTTTTGTATCAGTTTGCCTTCAGGCCCCACCCCGAAATCCGCCACTGCCTAGCTATTAATTACTATTAATTTTGATACATCACGTGCAAAAACCTTCGGACGATTTTAATTTGGGACATAAAAGTGTCCGAAAATACAACCGTCCGAAATTTTAAGCGTCTTAAATATTTACAGTGCAGTATAAAACTTTGAAGTAGCTCCAAAGCTCTTAGTTTCCTTTATGCCGGGTTTTGTGGAGCCAACTCTAGTTGAGACACTACTTGACGCACGTAACGGCTTCATAGAATCTGCGTTATTTTCGCGTAGGTGTTTTCGTATAACATTGAGGATGTAGTAAAACTATTATGTTTTGATGTTTTTCCCGTCTAATTCGTGCTTTGTGGACGTTAATTTACGTTAGCTATTTATCAGCAAACTGTTGGAAATTTGTTGAAAATGACATAAAGTGTCCGAAAATTAAACGTCGGAAATTTCAACGTCCAAAATTTTATGCGAGTGATGTGTCGCGAAAAAGCTCATCTAGTAATTGTTTTAAAATCTATGTAGTTGTGTCTTTGCAGAGCTCCCTCGAAGGCTTACAGAGAAAAAGAGGTTCGGATACAGTAAGTCTTGTCCAATGTTCGTAAGTTGGCTTAATATTTTGAAGCACTGCTTCACGTAATAATTTGGGGAATTTGCTCCTTTCATCTTTAAATCTGAGACCTTGTGTGCCTCTCTGGCGCAAGGATTGAGGTGAAGGTAATCTTTAAATCAGTTCGATTACGATAACGTACGTAAGGGTGAGATATGAGGATTTATACCATGCCATAGAAAATACTACAATAAATATAATAACTGAAAAACACTCTCATTTCCGTTTTTAAGCTCGATTTCCACCGCTTTCTCGAGTCCAGGCTCCTTTCCCCAACAACTACTGGTAATCGAGGCTATTCTGTTTTAAATGGTATCTTTTAATTCAAATTTTCTGACGAGCATCTGCGACCTTTTCATATGGGTGAACCCCCAGGACTGAAAGATTTATCATCCCGTAAGGCACAATATCGTACTCTTGTCCAATTACTTTCATCTGTTCATTTCCCAGAGCCTTCGATCCTTCTCGCCAGGCTTAATAATGATTTAAAAAGGGTCGAATCCCGGGGGTCGAATTCGCAAACTTCAAGGCTGCATGTAAATTGCTCGTAGTTTGTAAAGATAGTTTGACTATCAAGCGATTCTTTCTCACGTTTTTGTTTCTAAATTTCAGGCTGGCATTGGGGAAATTACATTTACAAGTTTATTCCTTTATCGTGGAGCGCCTTAAGCTGGACTGAGGCCGAGCGATACTGCAAGGAAATGGAAAGAGGGCATCTGCTTAGTATCCGAACACTAAAAGAGAACCGGTGGGTGACCAGCAGAATCCGACAAATTCGTCGGGTACTCGGCTTCTCGAAGTTTTGGATCGGAGCGTCGGACATTGGCCATCAGGGAGTCTACGAATGGACAGAGAAGAACAGCACGGTGACCTACACAAGGTCAGACACTGAAGTACTTGCAAATGTTGTTGTACTTGAAAATGGCAGAGGGAGAACGAGCGAACTAACGCTTGATCGGGCGATCGAGCGAGCAAACGAACGATTGAACAACGAACGAACGAACGAACGAACGAACGAACGAACAAGCGAACGAACGATTGAACAACGAACAAACGAGCGCTATAACGAACAATTGATCGGACGATCGAACGAGCAAACAAGCGATTGAACAACGAACGAACGAACGATTGAATGAACCTTGAACGGACGAACGAACGAGCAATTGAACGAACGAGCGATTGAACGAACAAAAGAAAGAAGGAGGGCAGGACGGAAGGATGGAACTGGAAGGGGGGAAGGAAAGAAGCTGAGAAACCAAATGTCAGGGGCATTGGTAGGGGACGTTTCTTAGCTAATTGTGTCTTCATTCCGTAAAGGTGGGCATCCGGCGAACCTTCATTTTTCGCTAAGAATCACAAGGAGGATTGTGTAGCCATTCACGCTGATCCTGACTGGGGGAAATGGAGTGACGAAAGCTGTGTGATGGAGACACCTTTCGCTTGTAAAACAAGACGTAAGTACGAAGTGTCAGGTTCTAAATAATCAACTTGGCAGATAAAAATTCTTGCCGCTGGTTTCCATAGAGTAGTGACTGGAAGTCAGAATTTGTTAATTAAAAGCGTTTACTGTACATGTGATAATTCCATTATTCTGCTGACCTGTTTATTTGATTAGGAGGAGAAAAAAGAAGCTGATAACATTTGTGGTGATCAACAGCCCAATTCATATTAGATCAATGCTGTACGTACCCGGATATTCTGATAGTCATGAAAAGCACTAAGCTAGTTTTTGTTATCATCTTAGTTTTTTGTTCAAACGGCTTTTAAGGTGCCCCCTCTTCCTGGTCGAGGGTCTGTTGAGAAATATATAGAGAAGTAAATTCGCGTTTCAAAATTATTAACTTCAACGTGATAAATAGAAGATATTATATGGCCGCGCTGAGACACGAAATTTCTCTTCGAGTGTTAAAAAAATGTTTCACGAGTGAGCACAGTGAGCGGGTGAAATATTTTTCAACGCGAGAAGATAAATTTGGTATCTCCAAGCGCTCATGTAATGTTCTCTTCATTACATAAACACCAATAAAACACCAAAACATTTCACTTTCGCTGTGAAAGGCGCAGTTTATTATGTAACCATAGCATAGTGACCTTTTCACCCGGGAAGATAACATGTTATTTTCACGTTTGAAGATGTCAAGTTTTCGCGCGAAAGCTCACCTGGTATTTCATTGGTGTTTTTTTATTGTAATAATAACAGTTTCTTTCCAACCAGATCGTTTCCGCTTTTCATTGTTTATTATTCTGTTCCAGTGTGTCAAGGGAAAACAGACTTAGCATTCATAGTAGATTCGTCTGGATCGCGCGGAGAAAGCAACTTCCAGGAAGCCAAAAACTTTGTGTGGACTGTGATCAGGGACTTTGAAATCTCGAATAACGACACGCTTGTTGGTGTCATTCGCTATTCCACGCGAGCCAACGTGATTTTCGACTTTCAGTTCAGCGCTGACAACAATGTCCTCCTTTTGAAAGAGACAATCGATAACATCCCATACGCAGAAGGGGAAACGAAGACCGAGCGAGCCTTGCAGCTAGCCCTTACCGACCTCTTCTCAGTCAAGGGAGGCTCGAGGCCCGATGTTCCCAAAATTCTAGTTGTAGTGACCTTTGGAAGATCGGACAACGCCCTCGGTGTGGCGCGAGCGTCCATGGCGTTGAAAGAAAACCACGTGACCGTTTTGTCGGTGGGAATCGGCGAAGAGGTTGACATCGAGGAGTTGATGTTAATGGCGTCAACCGCTGAAGATGTGATTACTGTGAAGTCTTTCAGTGCGCTAAAGAAGCGGGTGTCAAGAATCAGGGATAAAGTCTGCGACGGTGAGTGAAAGTATTGCGTTACACATTGCGTTACACCACACCGTAAAACTCCGATTAGCAACCCTCCAAAAGTGATGCCTTTTTTTAACGTCCTCCTCCCCGTAAGTAGCGATGTCCTACAGCTAACTTCATTTCTCATTTCTCGACAATGGGGCAAAGTTTTGTTATAGTGTAAGTTATGTTGCACGTGAAATTTAGGACCAAAAAGAACTGAAAACAACTGGACAAAGAATATAAGCAGACAATCGAACATTTCTCGCTGAAGTTTCCATTATAGGAAATTTTCATTTTAAACTAGTTTTCCCCAAGGGAGGGAAGGTAGAAAGGGTAGAAAAGAGGTTTAATGCTTCTTAGATGGATCAACCAATCATACAGGCCACGTTTCCAAACTCGAGTAGTGTTCCCAATCGATATCATTTTTTCTTTTCAGAAATGGTCGAGAATCAAAACAGGGACGAACTTGACGAATATGAGGACCAGAGAAACAGGGATTATTGACAATGGAGAATTCTTTATTAGTAATAATTCTAAAAATCTGTTGTAAAAATATACTAGAAAATCCTTTTTATAAAACTAACATGATATGTGAATTATTCTTTTGCTGTTTGTCACAATTATTAATATGATATAAGGAGTTTTTGTAGAGGCTAAGTGACTAATGGTTGGCGCGCTTGGACTCTTGATCGATTGGTCCAGATTCACACCCTGGGCGGGGCCATTGTATTGTGTTCTCAGGAAAGACACTTTTCTCTCACAGTGCCTCACGCCATCCAGGGGTATAAATGGACGCTCCAGTGAATTTAATGCCGGGGGGAGGGGTAGGGGTAACCCTGCGGTGGACTAGCATCCCACCCAGGGAGGAGTAGAAATACTCCTAATGCCCTCATGTTGACATAACGCCTTTTTGCAAATGAACCCTCCTCCATGCCAGAAACAAGTATAACGCGAGCATAAATCAAAGTCACGAAAGAGAGATCACTGGGCATGGTTGTAATATATAGTAGAACGCTTACTACAGTTCAACCAGAAATTCCGAAACTTTCGAAACGAAGGTGAATGGTAAGGAAATTTCTGTGGAAAGTTTCAGGAAAATCCGAGAATTGTTATATTTCCGAAATGCTAACCATTTAACCAAAACTTCCGAGAAATTCCGGAAGGAAAATCAAATGGAAAGGAATTCTAGGTCAGAAGTTTTCGAAAACTTGGTTACACATCACGAGATTGGCATTACATTAGTGGATAAATACAACCTTCACACAAATTTATTGAAGACAACACAAACAGAAAGAGATGAAACTTGAACATAACCATAAGAGTGTTCGAATCCTTCGTAAGAAAAAAAGATGGTGACTGGTACATTCACCCATAATTCTTAGCGCACGAAAACTTTAACAACGCTCATAAATAGTTCACAAAAATTCTTACATCCTTAAACTCAGCATACACAATGTCGTAAGCACAGGGACAAATGTCAGCGTTAAAATATGCCCTTTCCTTGTACTTTATGGGCTGTGCAAGGTTCGCACGGTATTGTGGCAAAATTACTGCCGCCATCTTTTCTCCTACAGAAGGATTTTAAAAATCTACATTTTATTACAATGCAACGAACTCATTCTTCCATCAAAATGCAACATAGAGTATCTTGATATCCCAGATATTTACAATACATTGTTAATCGTCATAACTTTTTTTCATGCCTTCTTATTCTGTGAAGACCACACAAAGGCAGTCTGAGTCTGCTTTTCTAAACAATTGCCATCAATTGGCAATTAACGCCCTCCAGATCTTGGGATTAAGAGGTTGACTTATAAGCAAAGGTGACGATATCCAATAAGACAGTTCAATTTCTTTCAAATAATCTCTTACAAAGTTTACAATGAGTCCTTAACTCTTAAGCCCAGAAATTGGTCGATACAAACTGAGCTCAATAAATTATCTTGAGACAGTTCAAACTCGAGCTTTAATAGCTTAGGTAAATAGATTATTCCCTGTGTAGGAAGTACGCGTTGTTCCCCGTGAGGTCTCTGTTTGGTCAAGAGACATATTCAAAAAAACAAGTTCAACTTTTTTGTCTGCTCTATAAATACACAAAACGACTTTGATGTTAAAATCTCTTCAATTCATTAATTTTTGATCAATGCCCGTGTTTCTAAGTCATTCTTCCGCAACTAAAGAAAAATAGGCACTCCTCTAGAGGCCAGTATCATTTAATTCGTATCGCTCAAAACCACAATGTAAATTCTTTCCTGGTAACTCTAATAATTTAAATTTCTAACTGTTTGTAAGTTTACTCCAGTGACTTGCCACAATGACTACAAAACTTGTCTCCGACTTTGCTTGAGAGCCCACAATACCCACAGAACCTGGATCCAGGCTGCGGTGGTCCATTTCTCTGCTGCTGCGCGGAATTGAGCGACAGAAGAGCTGATGAACCAGGCCTGTTGAAGAAATACCCAGCCACTACTGGAAACTGGAATCTATCTGCCATCGAGGGGCTTAGTTCTGGCGGGCTGCATGAATGGATGGGTTGAAACGCGCTAGGCGTACCTGGGCTTTTGTCACAAGGACTCTTCAGCGATTGCGCTTGCGCGGGTAGAGGTCCCGGATAAACATACGGTGGAGACTTTGCAATGGGAGAGAACGCTGACTTTGTGCTTCCATCGCAGGATAGAAGCGGGCCCGAACCATACCCTCTAAGGGGAATTGGCAAAGGATAGGGTCGCGGGTTGTTCTCGGGGAGAAGCGATTCAATAGCTTTGACTACGTCTTCTTCACAAGCGCCAAGAATCAGCTCTAGAATAGCTTTACTCTGGTGAGGAAAGATGCGCTGAAGTAGTTCTAAAGAGGATTTGAACGTCTCCGTCTCTTTCCTGTGGGGGGAGAGGCGTGGCACTTTTGAGTGCACGTATTCAGGCCCCTTATCTTCGTCGCTGGCGGATCTCTTCCGGTTGTCTTCAGCATCTGAAAATCGCTCCTCCTCAAAGCTGACCGGGCTGACTGGTTCTTCTTTTATTTTGACCTCGTACGAGTCGTTGCATTTGGGCTGAATTGGCCTCGGTGGTTCTTGTAATGCTTCCTTTTCGGCTTCTGAATGTACATGAAAGAATATAAGAACGATAGAGAGAGTAAGGCGCAGTAAGTAGAGTTGATTTTAGCGGGTTTAGTTTCAGAACTTGATTAATTAAAATTTCAACTCAGTCGTAAAATAAAAATAACCCAGAGGATATTGCGTTATTCAGAACATGTTAATGGAGGCAAAGAATAGAACAGACAATTTTCAATCAGTTCAAAAAAAGAAAAGAAGAGAAAAGAAAAAAAAAAAAACAGAACCGATATTATCATCACAATAGAGTGCATTTCTTCCCAGAGCTGGTATTAAAGAAAATTTTATGAAGTGTTAGCAATTTTCTTTCTTTTTCAATCAAACGAGCTGGCAATTTTGGAACCAGCCTTCTTTGATAGACTTACTTGCTGACAGGTTTTTTTCAGCATTAATTTTAGCCTTTTTGTGAGGGCGGGGACCTGTTAGTGACTTAAAGCAACGAAGAAAACAATTTCCATTTGGCTGAAATCGAATTACGCAAGTGGATGTAAATTGCGTGGGACTCAATAGAACGCAAAAAGCTCGAAGTGTCTTGGTAACTTAGTAACCGAAACATTTCTTCGCAGAATCTCGCTAACAGAAGAAAAAAAATTCTTCTTAACCTTGACTGCATCGTTTATTTGTTCCCGTATAAGAGCTTCGCAATTAGAAAATGTAACCCTTATTGAAAACTTTATATTTTTTTGTTGTTCACTCGAGCGCCAATTCGGCGCTGCATTTAAGTGAATTCTGTAAAACTGTGCTGGGAAAACGCTGAAATTTCCACCCTCCTCCAATGCACTTATACATTTTCTTTGTTTGGAGATTGGGGAATGATCATGAAAGAGAGTGGATGTGTTTACTCTGCTTAAGCTCTTATCTTTGTTTCAAATTTTAACACAGTTGAAAACTCTCTTGACACGGAGCGAAAAGCTTCTGGAATCACACATTTCACGGCAAACTCAACACTGTTGAACTGATCGAAATTATCTCGCAAAAGCTTTTAAAGTATACAATTTCTATCACTTGGAGCTAAAAGGAACATTTAACTAATGTGTGTAATGAAATCGCTTTTGAAATGAGCAAGCAATTTTCGTAACCAAAAAGAAGGAAAATACAGAGCCGAGCGAAAGAGTTTAACGAAAACGAAAATAATTTGAGCCATTACATTCGGGCGTAAACTCTTTGCGCATGAAAACGTTTTCTGTAAGTGCCAAGAAATTTTATTAATGTAGGCCTTTTGTAAGGGGCTTTTACCATTGAAAGAAAACTTTTTTGTTCCAGTTTGGGACACAATGGAAGATTTAAGACACGACGGAATTTCTGTCGGAAGCGTTTCACGGACAGTTTCGAAAAAAAAAAAAACTTTACCACGAAACTTCGGTGCACGGAAAGAAAATGCTCCAAACAGTACTTCGGTTTGTTCTACTAGTCGAAAACACAATACCGAAGAAGATGCACTGATTTACAAAAGAGAAGAACAAGGGGTAATTAGTTCTTATGTTAACCATGTCTACATATTTTATTCATCAATTTTAAACGTTGGCAAGGTTCACGGAAATTGACGGGATTCCATTCACGTCCATTTCACTCCGTGCGCAACTAAAAGATAACCTTGTCACAATTTGATGAAAGAACGCGATAAATCCTGTGCAAACAGCACGCTAAAGTCTCCGAGATGAAACATTCTTATGTTTGTCTTGGAGGCGTGTAATTGACAAGTTAAGAAACTACAAACATATATCAATTTGCTACATGTTATAAATTGTACCCGCCGGCTGAAGATTTCAGGAAACAGGCGGAAAGTTGCAAAGCAAATCGCGAAGTCCTAATGCGTAGCGCGGCGTGTACATTCACATAAACAAGTCTCGCGTCTGAGGGCGAAAAAAATTGGCGTCAAACGCTCCGCGTTTACGCTTCACTTACCGTGTGCGACTGCCCGCCGATACGATAGCAAGGCCTGCGTCTCGTCTGAGCAACTTCTTCCGACACCGTTAAACTGCCGCACCGCGCTAACAAGGGGGGCTATATAGGCCGGAGCTTTCTTCGTCATCTGTATCTGCATGCTCTCTTCCTGAGTCTGTTGACGCCTCAGGGCGACCTGCGCCGCCATGACCCGCTGTCTCTCGGCGATCAGCGTGCACTGAGCACAGTTGCAATCCCTCCATCTGCAAAACCTCTTATGGCCCTTTAACCACGAGACCACACCGTGGTTTCGACACCGAGCACACTTTGGTACTCGCGGGTGCTTCCGCTCGGAGAAGGACTGCTGAATCACGAACGAGGTATCTGCCATGGCTCTTCAACGCACACTTGAAAATCTCTTGAAGCTGAAGGGCTGTTGTCGCGCAGTGCACTCGACCCTGATTGTCGAAGTACCTCTTAACAAGACCAGAATGAATGACGGCTCCCTTTTGTTCAGATTATATTTTTACATTCAGAAAATTCAAGAGCCTTTGTTTACAAGCGCCACGATTGGTCCAGCGTCCAAATACGTCTCTGTGTGCCCTGTCAGCTCTTCTTTAGTCGTGTAAACAACTACACCCGTTCATAAGCCAAATTAGTTTTAACTCTCAAAGGAATTTATTTTGAATTAATGGCAACGCAGTTTCTCATACAAGCAATCAAACGTGATTTGAGTGTTTCAAATGTTCGATCAAAAGAGGCATTGTGGAGGACCCCTCCCTTAAACCCGAACTAACGAGTTTCCAAGGAACTTAACTATACCGCGATCCTTTTAGCAGCGGAATAGGAATCGCTTAATCTACGAGTCGCGCCGGGCATGTTAGTTGGCTACACTGTTGCATTTGCTTTATTGCTTAACCCAGAATGGCTGCATAATAAGACCACATAGTTTGCTTATTGTTTTCCCGTCTAATTGCCAAACAATGAATAATTCAGAACATCAAACAATGCCTCCGAAACTGGATACCGAGTAACTATATTGTCTGCCGATACAATGGCGCCTTGAATTTGTCAGTTCTCTATGGAATTCAAAGCTCGGTTCTTTGTGGGCAAAGTGGAGGTGCTGTCAGAAGAACACGAAAGCTAAATATGGTTCCACGCCGCGAGCAAGCGAGAATGAAATCGCCCAAAGACACATGAAAACTCTTCGTTTAACTTTACGAGGAGATAAAGTGAAAAATGGACAGCTAAATAACGGGGCTTCTTGCCAACTGTCGCTAAATTTTCGTCTATTATTTCGAAAGCCTGGTCGATGACAAATACGTCGCGTTTGAAATAAAGAACAAAGCCACTGAATATACATGAGAGTCTGGCGGAAAATTAGCTGGAAACAAACTTTAAAATGGCAAAATTTCCACTTTGGAATTACACCCGCGCGTTTCACGATACTTAAAGTAGTGTGTTCAGGTGTTCGCACAAGAAATTTTATACCCGATTGATAAAGATTGTTAACCTTGAAATATCCTTTACTTCGCTTAAACAAATAATTATACTATTGTTTAATTTCCTTTTATTTAAGCTGTAGGTAAAATTACCTTGGGCAATATTTGAATATGGCTGCGAAAGAAGAACTTTTCGTTAAGGCAAAATCGACGAAATTCTGTGTTCGCCTTCTAGTGGAGTTCATAACATGCAATTCAGGACGCTATCTCTCTCTCTCTCTCTCGATGTAAGAAATTAAACCTCAAACTTTGAAAATTCGTTGCGACATTAATAGAGCAAAACCATGCGTCAATATCTATTGAAGAAGGCGAGCATAGAAAGAGTGTTTCCTTAGGTGAGACATTCATTACTGTAATCGAATTTTGACACTATTGCTTCCGAAAAGGCTTCACGTCTAAAGCTCTCCACGCAAAAAAAAAACACTCAAATATGAAAATTACCTCTCGAATTGTTTTCAAATGTAGTGAAAACAAATGAACTTATTCTTACTCTCTTTTATGGCATGTATTTGACTATTCTTGTTTTAAAGCGTCCAAAAGAAAAAACTAATCCTAGCAACAAGGAATTAATCTTCAACAAGGATGAAAGATGTCTATGAGCAAATGTAAAAAATGATTAAGAATTAATTCTAAGACCCGGTCTTTGAAAACCTGTCGGTATTGCACAAGCGGACGTCTTCAAATCATTTAAAAAACGTTGTCGAATATTATATTACAACTGTTCTGTGGTATTCTCTTTCAGAGGGTTCTTTTAAAGCCATGTCACTCTAGCAATTACGTTATTCTACCTAATCTCTACCGAAAAAATCTTTTGACTGCATGGTGAAATGAAATAATGAAGCGTTCACTGCGAAATTTTCTTTAGAAAATGTCCAACCTCCAGGATTTTGATTCTTTCCTTAAAATTTAAGTACAAGTTGATTGTACGAGTACAATTTCCGCAATTAATGCGCAGTTTGAAACGATTGGACGAAAATAAGCCATTAACGCGACGGAGGAATTAACGGCTTTGGGTAAAGGGCTTTTCCAAGTTTATTTCTACGACAGACCATTTTTTCTAAGTTTTAACACTACAAAGCAATGCTAACAGTATTAAAATACACCAGTGCGTTCCATGTGCAGTTCAGTCGAATATCACATGTTGTGAATTAAAATTAAGATGCAATATAGCATTCTGTCTCTCGAGACCGTGTGGTTTTACGTGTCAATATATTTTTGAACCCACTGCCGCAGCTCGATCTGAGAAACAAACATGATAAAAACCGACCAGACAGGCCGTATGACACTTTTTCTGTACTTAAAGTGTCATATATATGTGTACAGATAGATACAGCAGTGAGTTGGTAATACAAAGATCGTATTATATTTGCAAGCATGTTTGGCGCGCTGATAAGGGTGATACCGGATGGAATAAAAACGTTTCAAAAATGGGAACTGAGTCGAGTTTCAAATATTACTATTGTGCATGAGTACATAAAATGTTTGCCCCGGAAACAGAATTTTATTTCTTTCCTTCCTGATTTTGAATGAGTGGTATTGGTGCTTGGGGAGAATCTAATGACAGTTATATTAAACCCCCTCTCGAGTTATGTACAGGTCACGTGACCAAACAAATCAGGTGTGCGCCTTTCGCCCTGATATTCTTGAGTGCAAAGAAATGTTTTGAAGTCCCACCTCCTTCCCTTTTGCATTGCTAGTTAATTTTTCACACGTTTCCTTGAGCAGTACCTTTCCAGAACAAAACTATGTATATCAAGATTAATCTTCAATTAATGCAGCTATAATCTTTTGCCTCCAGTGTGAGGTGATTTATTCATGGGGCAGGCTGAGAAGGCATAAAACCTGTATAGCCAATACGAATTCTACGATGCAGTAAATCGACCACAGTCAACATCATGTTATGACAATAGGGGGGTGGGGGAAGGGGGGGGGGGGGGAGAAAAAACCGCGAACATACCGCATGCAAGTTGATGCAACTGACTCCGTCGCAAAAATAACTGTTCTAAAATAACTTTTCGTGAATGTGGACAGATTCTGCGGTGCTTTTTTGCCATTGCGGAAATTAATATCACTCGTCAGGTTTGCATTCTCGCTTGGATGCTTGACTTAATATCATGCTCGAATGAACGCCATGGAAACGGTAATATATGTCGGTATCAATGTACGAAGCTAAAAAACACACCATTAGTTAACACTATTAAATACAATATATTGCATTTATCCAAGGTTATGCAAGCGCCTCTCCAAAAAATTATCCAGCCATTTTTAGGGAGGCAGTGACCGAGGGTATACACAGACTGAGCCTGTAGGCTTTTTTTTCAGATGAGACTATCACGTGATTTAAATACCTTGAGTTACTCGCATTTGCGAATTTATACTATTTTAAAAAATACTGCGAATCAGTGCCAGATTAACGATGGGCTTTTGAATAAAGATGACTCATACGTATTTTTCGAATACAAAAGCCTATTGTAAAGAAACAATGCTTAGGATGCAGCTAAACTTTGGAGAGCTTCACAAATCATGGGCCACTTTCGATATGTCAATATTTTAACATGGATCCGAGGCTTTCGGGTCAAAACTGTAAATGTTTTAAGTTCTTTTTGTCTCATAATTCCCAAAAGAGACTCAGATACAAAGAAAACAATATCAAACACAGAAGTTTTTCCTACTAGGGGAGCAGGGATGGCGCAGTGGTGAGAGCACTCGCCTCCCACCAATGTGGCCCGGGTTCGATTCCCGGACCCTACGCCATAATTGGGTTGAGTTTGTGTTGGTTCTCTTCTCTGCTTCGAGGGTTTTTCTCTGGTTTCTCCGGTTTTCCCCCCTCAGCAAAAACCAACATACAGCTGATTCCAGCTGGCTGTAAGCTGTGCTCCATGGACCGTATAGCGGCTGCCAGAGGCGCCAATGTATGCTTTCGGTTCGACCTTGTTAAGCTGCGTCGTTGCTGTACTTTGCGACGGCGATTAGCCGCGACAATTATTATTATTTATTATTACATGTACATTCTTAACTTAAAATAACCTATCAGGAAGGTTAGCACGTAGTATAAAAAGAACATAAGGAAATAAATATACAAATAGGTAGAAACAAAGTAATTGGTGCACGCGGTGATAAAAAAAAACAAACAAAAAAAACAAAAACCCACAGAGAACTATGCTAACGGTGTCTTGCTCAAAGCTGACTTGAATGACTTAATGAATTGGATGTAATTATCTCAGCGGTAAGTTGTTCCAATCAGTATTTGGTCTCGGTCAACAACTGAATCGTATCGCATGATCCCTGTAGTGGAATAAACCTCTGGGGTGGGTGCGACGGGTGCGGAATTAGGTCTGGTGCTGGACGTAAGCTGGAATAGTCACTTCCGCTTCTTGGTTGCAGCATGCAGGACAGAGGGTCATACCAACACAGGTTATTAAAGTGCACCTAACCCGGCTTGACGGACGGACGACTACATAAAGGCAATATAGGTCTGGAATCTCGTTATCAGTTAAATTTGAGACAATTTCTCAGCTACAGTGGAACCTCGCCTTACGACCACCCCGTTAGTACGGTCACCCCGTTACCACGGGCACTTTATTCTCGCCCGAAAAAAAGCCGTCTCATTTTCTCATTTCAAGGACCCCTTTAATACGTCCACCCCGTTAATACGGCCAGATTTGTGGCCTGCTGGTGGCCGAATTAACGGGTTCTACTGTATCACAGAGTATATTTTGCGTACCTCAACCCCTCAAATCCCAGGTATAGGTTAAAACACGCGTCATTCCTCAACTGACAGCTAAAATGTTACCAGTTCTCAGCTCTCAGTTAAATCCCATCGAGACTCTTAATTGGGGTCGTAACTAAACGGAGCCGTTAAAGCACATTGTAGACTCTCCTCAATGGGCTGATCAGGGCCCTGAAAGGTGGATCTCTAGAGATTTGAGGGTTTTGCTTTGGGGCTCGGAGCTCGGAGCTTTGAGCTCGGAGCTCGTAGCTCGGAGCTCGTAGCTCGGAGCTCGTAGCTCGGAGCTCGTAGCTCGGAGCTCGTAGCTCGGAGCTCGTAGCTCGGAGCTCGTAGCTCGGAGCTCGGAGCTCGGAGTCCAAAGCTAGTCACGAGCTGGTACAAAACTGCTCTGGAGCCCTAAACCTCTTTCGGACTATGGATTGAAAACTGGACAGTTTTGGAAAATAAGATAAAGTTCCTGTTTAAGATCAGGGAGTCCAGTCCCCAGTCAGTCAATCCATGACATCGTCATTGACTACTAAGACAGCATCCACATTACGCCGCACAAATTTTCAAACGCAGCTTTATTTCTACGGTTAGGCCTACCGTCCACACTAATCCGTCGCAAAAACGGAGATTTTCGAAAACGCTCTTCAAACCGGAGGAATTTGAAAACGCCGGCTTTTCGTTTTCGTGTGTGGACGCAAAATGCCAGTTGAAAACGGGGCCTTTCGGAAACGATGGCGTCACAACAGTCATGTGATTTTCCTGCCCGAGTTTTCCTCAAACGCAAATCCAAAGTGACCTGTGATTGCTGCACTTTTTTAAAAATTCCTCCGGCGTAGTGTGGACGGAAAACATTTGATGCGTTCTCAAAGTGAAAGCTACGTTTTCAAATTCCTCCTTTTGTAGTGTGGACGTGGCTTAAGGCCGCATCGGACACGGTGATCAGTTTCAAACTACTTTCATCTAGGTGACTACTATTTCATGTTTCAACCACGACTGGTGCGAACTCTTCAGGTTCACTTTCAAAATCCCAGTTGAATCGTTTGGTTAAATGCTGCCGGAATCGCAGTGCCTTCTCCACTAGCTTTTTGTCAACAGTTGTTGAAGACTCTACGTTGGAGAAAAAAACCTAGAAGAAGCAAACAGGCATGGAGTTAGTCCAGGGAAACAGAGAGCACAGTTGGGCAAAGTCGGGGAAAAAATGGCGAATAAGATAGAGTTGTCGCGTCAGTACGATGTTATGAAGGGTGCTTTCCATTTGTATGGGAAAACCGCTTTTCTGGTGGGAAACCAAATGAAACGTGCTTTCCGCTAGAACGTTTTGGGACAAACTTAAAATATCTTCATGCAGAGGTATTCCTCTTTTCTCGATTTTACCGGAATGATAGGAAAATCATTGTACCATTCGCTTTTTTACACTAATCCTATGCTCCTTGATGAAATACACAGTCGTTCTGGGCCGGGTTGTTCAAAGTCCGATTAAGCTAACCCAAGGTTAGCGATAATTTTGATTTCAATTTTGTAACTTTTCGCTGAGGTTTCTGTTTATATTGTTTGTTCTTCAGTTTTGAGTTTGAATAATCTCAAATTACACAAAACAGAAGCAGTGAAAAACATTTTGATACAAGAAAAATTAACTCTTCGGTTAACTTTTAATCCTGGGTTAGCGTTAACCGGCTTTTGAACAACTCGGCCCTGGTGGGAAATGAATTGGCACATTCTTTACTACTGGAAGGTTTTCAAATCAGGCTTTTCCACAAATATCATGTAAAATCGCCTGAATATCTCACCGGAAATTCTAAAAAAATCCAAATATCACAAAAATGTTTCCCAAATATCTCGGAAAAGCCCTTTGAATGTCTCTTATTTCTGTTTCAAAAATAAACCGATTTTGAATCACTTAGGCTGAGATTTTCAAACTTTTCTTGCAGTAGTAGGAATCGAGGAAGAAGATACTGGCACTTCGATGTTACCAACATCCGCCATTTTAAAAATAAAATTGCTGCTTTTAGCGGTTTTAGTGACGTGGAATACATTTTTCGAGTGGGAAATCACTGAACTGGCATAGATAGAGTATTGTACCAAGAAAATAGCGAGGAAAACACAGAGCTAAGCCCCTCAAAACTACGAATACTTCTAAATAGCCCTAAATTTCTAAATATCTTATTAAATAATATTTTCTTAATATCTCGGAAACTCCTAAAAATCCCCCCAAAATATCGGGATTTGTGAAAAGGCCAATTTCAAATGTTGTCAAGTGGTACACACCCATCCTGTCTCACTTTGTTTGTTGAAAATTTGTACTGTACCGGGGTTTTTCACGCATCACGCGGGGACATCATGGTGCTCAGGAACTTTCTCACGAAAGCCGCTCAACTGTCAAGCTTCACCGTTTACATTTCATATTGTTGTAACTTCCAACTTAAACAAGTTTTCTGATTGGAGGAGAACGTGTCACGTGTCACGGGTCAAAACTCACTAACTCCCAAGGCAAACAACAAATTAAACTTTGGACTTGCACGTGATCAGGACGTGCACCTTGAAACCGCGGCAAATTTGAATGCCAGCCGGCGTCAAGCAAATATGTTTTCTCGCAGTTTGCTCTATTTTTGAGTTGGGAAGTATAACAAAACACTTATTGACTGGCCCCAAGTAAAACAGTCAGTTTTGTTTCCCCAAGACTCTCGATGTTCCCCGAGGCGAAGCCAAGCGGAACATTGAGGGTCTCGGGGAAACAAAACTCACTGTTTCTCCTGGGGCCATTTAATTAAGTGTTTATTTATACACGCTTGAGATTCACCTGCAAAGTTGTGGTCAGGAAATTGTTTGCTGATACAATGTCCACAAAGAAATCTTTTGGAATTTCCAGAACTTGAAAGTGCAAGACACCTAGTCAAGAAAAATAATCACTGTGTTAGCCTAATAAAAAATGTTGCTAATATCAAATCAGCAATAGGTCAGAACAGTGTTCAGCTGGTCTGTTGCAATCCTTGGGATAAAAAAGATAGTGTGGTTTCTGTAGCATGAAGTGACTAGGATTCAATATTTCTACTTCCCCCCTGGATGCTAGTCCATCACTGGGTTACTCCCCAGCATTAAATTCACTGGTATCCATTTATACACCTGAGTGGAGAGAGGAACTGTGAGAGTACAGTGTCTTGCCTAGGAACACAACACAATGTCCCCGGCCAGGGCTCAAACCTGGACCACTTGATTCAGAGTCGAGTGCACCCACCGTGAGGCCACTGCCGTTCTTGGATAAAAAAGCCAGACGATTAATTGGTGTGGCAGTTACTAGACAACAGTTTCTGCTGCCTATTAAGAGCATTGCTACCCTTTCCCCAACCTCGCCCCAACTGAAACAAACCACTTGCATGTGAAATCCCACCAGCTACATGGGTTACTTTAATTCAGTTTTGTTTTTTTATGGCGATGCTTTCTATGTTCTGCAGTTTTTCAACTTGACTTATCTCAAACCCCACAAATTGTTCATAAATTGTACATGAGCATTAACCAGCTTTGAACATCCTGGCTGCTTGGAAGGAGAGAGAGATTGTTCAGGTAATATGCCTTGCCCAAGAACACACCACAACGACCCTGTTACTAGTACCTAGAACTGAGAGCCCAGAATGTGGGATTCATAGGGCCATACAGCACCTTAACAGACCACCACAATTTTTTTTTCCCCAATCAATAATTTTCTATCTGAAAATCATATTGTGCACAGAACCAGGAAATATCTACACATAACTGTTGGCTAAATTGGATACTTCCAGAGGGGTTGGAGACCCCAGACTTCCACAAGGTGGTATGGGTATTTAGTGGAAGACAAAATACATATAATATGGTAATGATTAGACAGTATTCCTAAAACTACCTATCAGAGCATCGAATATGTCACTATATGTTGACAAAGCTTCATCACAACTGCACAGCAGATTGAGGAGTTTTTTCCAGTGCTCAAATGCATCATACACTATCCAGAAAATGGAAAAAAAAAACAAACAAAAAAACAAAAAAAACAAAAAAAATGCAGATATATCAGTGGCAGATAGTAAGTGAGGCAGATAAGTGCAGTATATTGCTACATAGATTTAATATAAAAGAATATTAAAAATTAAGCATTGAATAATAGCAGTTCTAAAACATCACTTGTGTGAAAGATGTAGGTCATCAAAAATAGTGGGCGGGGTAGGCCCTTTAGGGAGTAATCTCCGGATTTCAAGTCTGACACCCTAACCACTCGGCAACATTAGGGAGGTTATTTAGGGGTATGCATGCATGCATCCATCTTCAGGAAAATTTGGAAAACCAAGAGATGCATTTTTAGGGCATAATTTTGTTAAGTGCGCTAGTGAAGATGGATGGCTCACAAATTAGTTACACCAGTTTTCTTTTCTTAAAAATCATATAAAGGAATTTTTTTATCTATTTCAATAAGACAAGAAATGCTTTTTAAATCATGCTTGGCTGACAATTTTGGCTGAATCAACTTTCTTCTAAAAAGTCCTGTAAAATTTGTGAGTTTGAAGAAAATGGGTGTTTTTATCAGCAAGGTTGCATAGGAGCTAAATATAATAATACTAATATTAAATTAAACACTTAATTGAACTAGGTTGTTTAGTCTGTATTGGAAAAATATTGGTGCTTTATTAGAGGTTGTACAAGCTATGGACCAATTAAAGAAAAGGCCCAAAAGGTTAAAAACAAAGTCATTTGTATTTTCCACTATGATTGCCATCTATACAATGCACCAGTACCTTGGCCTACTAAGAAACACACAAAGGCAAACTGCAGTTCAGCAAGAATTTCCTTCCTGTCTTGGATGAAAGAAGCACAAAGGAGACTAGTGGTCAATAGTGCAATTTGAATAATATCCAAGTCCTTGATATGATCTCCCTCCCTTACATAGGCTAGCTAAGCTGTTACATGGGCTACTTATGAGGTTGAGTGAAATTAAACCTTTGCTAATCACTGGAAGCTTGTAGTCTAGTCTATCAACTTTATTGGTCACAAAATTACAATATAACTAATTAATTATAATTAATTGTACAGTCTGAAAAGACATTCATGTGACCTAAACAATCTTTGGAATCATGCCCTTGTTTTCTATGAGTGATAGTCATCTTGGCTGCACCTCCAGGGTTGCCACACACTGGAACGACAACAAAAAAATCCCTGACTTTTCACTGGCTGTAAACAATTTTCACTGACCCTGCAGGATGACTATTCTGGCCATACATTAACAAATATAAGGATGGCTCAGATAATTTGCAAAACTTAAGATAAAATTCCCTGACTTTTCACTGACTTTGAACAGGGATTTAGAAACTCCGTGACCTTATACAAAACTCCCCAGGACTCTTCCCTGACCTTGAATAAAATCTAATTTTCCCTGACTGTGGCAACCCTGACCTCGTTAACTATTTGCTAATACAAAACTTGGGCTCATTTTCTAGTGTTTCATAATATGCAGGTCTGAGTTTTCTGTTCATGATTAGTCAATGGAACAGAGCCTAGAATTTTGGGGAACTAAAAATTCTGCAACTGAACTCAGCAGTCTGACCTATAATTAACAAAACTGGAGCAGACTCACTACATGTAAGTTCTCTTTTTTGTTGTGTATAAGATTTGTGGACTGCAGACTGCAGACTGGGTGTAGAATGTAGACTGAGAGTAAAATTAAGACTGTAGACTAGGGGTAAAATGCAGACGGCAGACTACAGACTTTTTACGTATATATCATGCTAGTTCCATTATTGAGTGCTAACCATAAACAGGGTTATTCTGGCTACTTGTTATGAAAGTCTGCACTCTGGTTAGCCTGAATATCACTCTGGTTAGCCTGAATATCACTCTGGTTAGCCTGAATAACCCTGTGGTTAGCCTGTGTACGGTTAGCTTTCAATGATGTAAATGGTAACACGATTTCAGTTGAAAAGTCTGCAGTCTGCATTTTACCCTCAGTCAGCATTTTAGCCCTGGTCTGCAGTCTGTTTTTTTAACTGATCGGTGTAAGATTCATGAAACAGCTCACCTTTCATGTGGTTTATTAAGCTATGGAGTGCATAACTACTGTCCATACTGTACTTGCTGATTTCCACAGGTGATGCACCATCTGGATATCTCTGCTTGGGAATCTCAGAAAATCTGATCAGAGTTTCTTGATTCCACGTAATTGAAGAAACAGTGTCCACAGATTCTGAAGTCTTACTCCTTGTGTGCAAAGATTCTTGCGCTAGTTCAGTAACAGATGATATCTTTTTGCATACAGGCTGAACTCTCTCTAGTAAATCTTCAGTTATATGGTTGGTCAGGGAGACCCATTTTTTAAAGTGTTCATAGGGATAAGGACCAAGGAAGGTGTCCATTTCTTGTAAACCTTAAAACAAAGTCCAGAAGCAGTTAATACATGTGTTCAACAATCAGTTTAAAATGAAAGTAAGGAAGGGTTGGATATCGCAGGATCCCCTTTTCTTTGGGTTTCCTTTGGTCATTCGATCACTGTGGGTTCCATTAAATTAATTTTTCTAAATTTAATATAAACTTCTGCTTTAAAATCTAACATCTAGGTATTAGGTGACATTTGGTATGTCGTGAGTTGTCCCAGCTGGGCGAGTCTCCCAGGTGGACTCCATTTTAAAAAGGACGTGGGTGCTTGTTAGAAACCCTAAGAGGTACCATTAGATCCTGTTTTGTGGGTGTGGCTTGAAAATTCTTTTCATCTTTAGAGGCACCAATACCCTAAAAGGTACTGAAAAAACTCTAAGAGGTACCAAAACCACTTTTTTTAACCCCTAAAAGGTACAATGAGCAACTCTGTTCTTTACATATGGGAATCCCACCCTTCTGGGGGTGAGCCTAAGTGCCTGGGTCACCCTACCTGCTGAGGCAAGACAACTTGCCTACATGATTCGTCTTACCCCTTTGTGAAGAGTTTACAATCCTCATGTAAACGGTTGATTGAATTTTTTAAAGAAATAAGTGAAAAGTTTTAAGTTCAAATTTGCACTTATTAAAAGAAGGGATCAATAGAAAAGGATATCCAAACCTTATTCTTCATCATCCAAATGTTTTCAACAAGTACGGTAAGGGCTTTACACGAAAGAAAAAAAGGTAACCCAAGTGAGGAGGAGTGAGTGTTGATACCTTGTCTGTATTTATCTTTTTCTTCTTCATTAACGTCTACCTCGACCACGTCTTCAGTTGATGGATCCCACCTCAGCACAAACACATCTTGACGCTTGGAGAACAAGAACAAGCCTGTTCTGGGAGCGCTTTGTCCTCCTCTGTTTACTGCACTATAGTATATGAAATGAAGCCCAGGAGGTATCATTTTAATTCCTTTAAAGCGAGGACCAACGTTACACGAGAAGTAATCAATGCCGAATTCTGTGCCTTCGGGAACGTCCGAAACTATCAAAGTCGCTCCTTCGTTGTGCAGGCGCTTGGCGACTTCAGGATCCATTTCAGCCATCATTAATTGATTTAAAGATGTGAAAAAATGATGAACTGGGTTTTCAAAATTATTTCCACAACTTTTAAAGCTCGATACTGAGCGAGTTTTACCAACACCAGCTAAAGCAACAACGTACGAAAAACGTCCGCCATTTTGACCGAGAGGAAATCTGGACTCTAGTGTCCAGACTCCGGGGCAAAGATGACGTGCTGGAGAGGTTCCCGGAGTTTTCCATGGTTTTGGGGCACAAGGCCAGGGAACGTGATGAATTATTTCAAGAGAACGAGGGATGTTTCTGACACTAATTGGAAAGAGCAAGGGGTATATCTGCTATTTACGGGTTCTTTGACAAAACGTTTTGGGTAAACAATGGAATTTATTAATAGGAACAACAGAGAAAAGGCGAAATACAACAGATCATCAACCCTTCATGGTAAATTGTGAATGGTAAGATTTTTCCAACTGCCTATAAATTTGGCACTTTAATATCAATGATCTCAGAACTGGCAGTCTTACAAATTTCATGTCACTGTTTAGATTTTGCATCAGTTTTACTCCACTGCAAATAATATTATTAAGTTTATTATTCGTCTTTTGATCACGGGTCATGTCAAAGGGTTATGCAAAGGGACAACTGGGGACTCACAGTCTTTCTAAGCTAGTAGCTAACACAGGTTTGCAACTAGATCTGATGGATGCTAAGAAGTAGATTTAAATAATACTGTTCTATACAAAGAATAATACTGCTATGAATTACGACAAGACCACTATGTATAATAATTTTTTAATAGCTCTTCAAAATGTTCATTTCCATAGTTTGAGCCACATCACTCGTATGATACTAATATTGTGATTTTGTTTAATATTAAATGGTAATTACAAATTATACAATATAAATACATTGCATTAAATGTTTTAGTTTGTAATTACAAATTTTCAACATTTTGAACTAAATCTTTAGGATCCAGTCCTAAAGTATATATATATATTTTTTCTCTTTACAGCAATTCTTGTTTTGCTTTACAATGCCAGTTTGTTTAGGAAGAGAAACACAGCTGAAAGTTTCTTATAGTTTTTGTATGGGGGTAACCTACGGAGATTGCAATGATAGTGGAGAAGTAATGCTTTCCTATGACTTATTCTTTACATCTACATCCTTGGGATAATAAAAGATTTTAGTTAGGATTACAAGATCCCAAGGTAACACTTCCCAAAACCTCAAATACTGAAAAGAAAAAAAATACTGAAACTACATTTTGTAGTCTCTGACAAGTTGAAAAAAAATGTTATTAACTGTTTACCTCAGTCTAAACAAAACTAAAGCAAAAAAGAGCTTTGCATACTTCTCTAATCTTTTCCCTGGGGAAAAAAAAGGTACTGCTCCACAGTTTTCAATTGTCAGAGCTTTATCCACAGACTTAAAAGTTAGAACTACTCTGTACAGCAAACAAACAGTATTATATGTAAGAACAGCTCAAAGGCTCTCATTTTGATGGTCTTATGACAGGCTTTTACTTAAAAAACTCAAAAATTATTTCACCAAATTGTGTGAATCATGATTCTAAATTAGGAAAGAAAAATGGGTTTCTTAGCTGAAATCACTTTTTAGTTACTAGCACTTTGGGTATATTTCATGTATATATGTACATGTACATGTAAGAACTGAAAATTCTGGCAAGTCTGCCTGCTGAAAAGATGGCATTGTAAAGCAAAACAAGAAATTAATTCACAAATACACTACACTACACACAATTCTGGATAAATAATGCTTAGGGTACTTAAACAACTTATGCAAATTTGTTCTACTAATGCTTTTAAACACTTTGCTTTAACATCAGTCATAGTAGAATTTGGATACTGTATTACATTCACCTCTTTCAGAGAATTATGGAGGGGAACAGAAAAAAATCTCTGTGAACAAAAGTGACCCCAGCATTTTTACCCAAAATTGTCAACTTGACTAGTTCAGTCTTATACTATTGTTACGCAATCCTCATAAAAATAGAAATATTATGTAACACCAAATTTCAGCTGTAAACAAAGTCAGATTAACTAGGCAGGTTTGCTATGAAACCAAACACTCAGAAAAAGAACCAGTATATCAATATGGTTGCATCACAAAAATTGATGACTTAAATATCATAGGAACATGTATGGAGAAGTACTCTGATAGGTTTGGCAATAACCTGAAAATTTGTCACGGAAGATTCATCTGAAAATGTCGGTAAATTATTTTAACGTGCTGATTAAGATATAAGATTGAAATCACTTTATGAAGTTTCTCATTCTGAGTCTATACAAATAGAATTTAACCCAGATTAACTAAGGATTACATGTAACAAACCAATAATATGATTCTGTTCACCAAAAAAAGATGAAAATTTCATTTAGGACTGCGTACCAACTCATTCAATAAGTTGACAAGCTCCTGTATATAAATGCCCTAACTAGGTGACAAATCATGAAAATGGAGTGAGCATCAAATTTTTTCCTGTAACATCTGGTAATAATATACAATGAAGATCTACTACATTAAGAATAAAAGCTACCTAAACGTGTAATTTGTTGATAACTTTGCCAAGTGTATTTTCTGGGCTTGGCAGCAGACTCTCCATTTTGATAAGCAGTCGCTCTACAGTGATGGTCTCTCCACTGTTTCCAATGGCCACATGCTCAATGCGAGGACTACACAGTTTCACTTCCCTGATATGTTTACATTTGTCTCTAAGCTCCTGAACCAAGTCGGCATCAGCATCATCAATGAGCTTGAAATTGATCAAAGACACAGCCTCAATGAGGGGACACATTTTAATCAAGTTTGGTACTAGAGGGCTCTCTGAAAGTGCTTCCTTTCGCAGAGGTCCAAATTCCAAGATCCTTAACTTGGAAACAAACTTGAACATCTCAGCTATGACCGACGGGGGTATTCTCGGGGAGTGACTGACCCCCAAGTACCTCAGGGAGGGGGACTGCTGTAGTACGCCCTCCAAACATTCCGCGGAAAGAAGAAAGTTCCACCGCAGATCTAAAGTTTCTAAACATTTGTAGGCTAGTGTTGGTCTTACTTCTTGGTAAATTCTCAAATGAAGAATGTGTCGAAATCCACATTGATTCATTTTGAAGTAGCGAATGTCGGGCAACCTAGAAATCACGTTTGAAAGACCAGTTGTAGTAACGAAGTAGCATCCTGTCAAATCAAGTTCCTTTACCTTCGTCTTTTCCCAATTTACCGCCATCAGAGCTTCATCGGTTATCTTTGTAAAGCGAATAAGAAGTGTAGACACGAATTTACAGTTACTAAGGACCCGATGAAGGTATTTGCCTCGATAATTCTTGCATTCGTTCAAGCAAATCGATTCCAAATGCGGACAATTCATTGAGACCTTGAGAAGTGCGTCATCGGTCAATGTCTCGCAATCCGTGCAATCCAGAATGCGCAAGTTCCTCATTTTAGCAAATATATCGGGGACAAGACTCTCTGATGAGTCCATTCCCAGACCAACGTATCTCATTTGCGTAAAATGCCTCGGTAATCGCCTCATAAACTTGAAATTTCCCCACGAGTAGCGCAAATCCATGAGTTCTAAACCTGTTGGAAAGTCGCGTATGCCTTCGTGTCCCGTTTCGCTTTCAACCTCGGCTCCATAGAAGACCAGACTACGGAGTTGCTGGCATCTTTTAGCCAGCTCTTTTGCCACTTTAGCTGTAAGGGTACAGCCGCCCAAATTGAGCGCTTTTACCGAAGATAAACGCGTCCGGATCAACATCAACAAAGTCTCTTCATCGACCGCAGGCCAAAAATCATTCATGTCAACAACACACCAAAGCGAACGATCGTAAGCTACTCTTCTCCAGCGCCGGCAAACTTGGGCCAAAATACCTAGTTCCCTTTTCGAGAGGTACCTGAATACTTCTAGAATGACAGAGTCGGGTATTTGTTTCTCCATTTTCAAGGAGACTATGCTACTGAAGATTATAATGTCGCAGCTGGCGTTGTAGCTTTCACACGCGCGAGGAAAGCTTGCGTGCGTCAACCAGCGAGCGACTGTTTTCCGCTATCGCAATCAATATATCCTCGTTGAAAACTCACGCCATATCCGACTGAAAATTTCAACCTTTGAAGTACTCTTGAAAAAGGAGCAAATTTTCTTCGCGAAAAAGACCTCCACGTTTCTACCATACAATCACCAAACACTGTAAACCTCATTATGAAAGCTCTTTGCATTGTTTCGCCGGATGAGGGGCCAATGCCCACTGGCTTCCGGGCTCTGATTGGAGGTCCGCGATGACGTCACATTCAAACACAAAGGAAACCATTTCAACTCATTTCAACACAATAATCGCCTTTGGGTTCGCGTCACGCGCGCGACATAGAACGCGCATTGGGAAGAAAACGCGTCGCCGGTGAGCGTCGCGTCACTCGAACTTTCACCAACAACGAGAAATTTAAAAGGCAATAGAATAATATTTTTGAAATAATTGATCTTATGTACTTATTAGTTCGGTGCATGAGCTAACTATCAAAATGCCTTTACCTGACGAGGAATAAAAAGTCAATGCATCAGAAAACTACGGAGTGTCGCTTTACATGTAATATTCACATGAGCTAATACTTTTACCCGGATTTAAGTAGGAGACATCTGTTTACTAATGCCACAAGCGTCTAAAACGTTTCCTTATGGCGCGTGTAGCTATTTACGGATCTACCTTATGGGCATACCGAACCCGGAATTTACAAGGATTGAAAAGCCTATAATAATCAGGCTTTTTTTTTACCATTTATGTACTGATGGATACTTTCGATTAAGGATAAGGGGCCTATATTGATTGTTAAATTGACAATAGTGATCGAGATACATAATTTATGCTTTCCTTCTTACAAATATTTGCCCAAGCATTTCCCTTCCCTCAAACAACAATATACAAAAATATTTAACAGATTTATGAGTGTGATTGAATCAGACCCTTTTTCGAGGAGGGACGAGAAGTGGTTGTGCAAGGAGGCTGAAAGACGCTGAAACGCTTGGTCAGAGGTTCACAGGGGCATGCAGGATGGAAGTTTTACTGATCGCGCATGGAATGTTGTGTTTAAATTTTTGTCAAAGTAATGTTACGCCACTTTGCAAATTGTGGCCCAAATAAAACTGCACCCCGGGACCTTGTGGCTTTTTAACGGTTATGTTAAGCTCTGTAATGGTGACAGTGCACGTTTGTCTCTCATATGAAATGCCGCCAGTCATGTTTCCGTTTTGCTCTTTTCCGCACGACATGACCTGCACGTCCTGAATCAATATGCAAGTAGCATTGAAATGCCGCCCGCGCGCACTCGGAATGCGGAGGCGGTTGTAAATATAGCTCCATGCTAAAAAGAAACATCAAAAGAAATCATTGTTATAAAAAGAACTAAAAGAAAGAAAATTCCGTTGCAAAAGTCGTTAGATTCGGTTTGCAAGTTATGCCGTTTTAAACTGCGGGCGTCACGTAACACCGATATAATTCCTAAGAACATGAAATATTTGTGTTATTCAAATTTTTAAAACAATCAGTTTCCTCTTTGCTAGACCACTAGCATGGCAGACATCTTAGGCAATTAAAGAACTCTATGTTCGCTTCGCCTGTGATCTAAAATCAAATAAGGTCGTGCCTATTGTCTGTTCTCCCTTCATAGTGGTTAGGCTCGGAAAATGAATTCTGCCCGCAGAATGAGTTTTCAATTAGGTTTTTTTTTCTGGTCATTTGCGGAAGCGAGCATTATGCCAGCAGCGGAAAAGGAGATTTCGAAAATCAAGGTAGTAATAATAGTGACAAATGCTAAATTATTATTCCCAAGCAGTTTCAGAGCAGAACACAACCAGCTTGCGCAATGCCGGGCAGAAAGGCAAATAACACTTACTACTTTTAAAATTTCGCGGGAAATTGTACCGCTGTCATGACGACAACAATATTGAGCCAGCGATGAAACGCTTGAGAACTCTTCCAAGATGGCGACCACTGGGATGCAGATGGACCGGCTGTTTTTGGCGATGAGTTTTTATCGTCGAAGGAAATTTGAGGAGTGTGCAGAAGTTTGTACGCAGTTACTGCAGAAAAATCCTTATGACCAGGTAGTACATTTTCTTAGAAATCAGAAGAAAGTACCGTTAATAGCCACTCCAAAATTATTTAAAACAAAGTTACACACGATCGAATGTTGTTGATTTTTTCCCGTTCTCAGAAGCGTTCTGTTATGAATGTTTTCTCGTCTTTATCATCAGGCATCATGGTGTCTAAAGACACGAGCGCTCACGGAACAAGTTTATGTTGACGAAGTTGATGTTGACGAGGAAGGAATTGCTGAAATGTTAATGGATGACAACGCTGTTGCCCAGTTACCACGTTAGTGAGCTTATATCTATGCTTCCCGTTTTTCTTCAGCGAAAAAAGTCACCTGCTGCGCAGACGATAATCTGCATTAATCGTGCTGTTTATTTTTTTTTATGTGAGATTCAATAATTGCAGATTTGGTCTTATTTGAGAACATCAAATCTGCAGCTCATTGAGTTTGAAATTATTTATATTTTCAAGTCAGGCGGGATACAAATTTAACACAGTGTACACTGGTAATTTGTGTTGTAGGGGAGCACATAGTTGTCCTTTAGAGTGGTCTTCTCTTGAGTACCATGAAACCAAAACCAAAGCAATTACTTACCAGATGACAACTCAGCCAATCTCAAATATAAAACCAAAACCAAAGTACTTTTGACAATCAATTGAAAACCGCTATAGACAAAAATACCTTGGTTTCACAAATGTTATCCTTGCTTACCATGTGATGTAGTCGGTAGAATTTTCTCACTTGAGAAAAGTTACTGTCTGGAATGAAACTGAACAGTTTCCAGCATATTTACTGCTTGGAAGTCACACTAACCCTCCTGGGGTGGGGTACTCCCACATGAAAAGGTCCCCAATGCTTGTTGGCAAATTTGAATAGACCATTCTGGACATGGCTCCAGATTTATTCGACCCCTAAAAGATTCCTCTTAAAACGGAATAGGCTTCAGGAAAGGAGCCCATGCTAATAGACCAATCTTGAGAGGCCAGCAGAAATCATGCCTAAGAATGGAAATAAGAGCCTTTTTTATTATTATTTCTTCAAGTGCACCTTAAAAGATACTTTGACAGCTATAAATAGTGGTTTTTTTGTCATCAAGACCCTAAGTGTGACTAGAATCCTTGATTAAACCCCTAAGAGGGATAACAAGCATCCCTGATTTTTGTCATATGTAAGTCCCTTTCCCAGGCACTAACCACTATGCAAAGGTTAAAGAATTTCTACCTCTGATAAACTGACATGCCCATAAATTTTTGACACTGTATGATTTGATCTACAGGCCCAGGAACTTCATTAAAGAAACCAGGAACCAGTACTGGGATGGGAGCCCCTACACCAGGAGTTAGGTACGTTGTAAATTTCTTGCTATATGAACATTAGCCTGAGAAAAAGCTGGCCTTCTCTTGTCATATCACTAATTTTTGTCTCCTGCAACAGAAACTACAGTCAAACCTCCACTAGTGGCCACTTTTCTACAGCAGCCAGTTTTTTTTTGTTCCCAGCAGACAGTCCATACACTTACTCCTATTTTAACCTCTCCACAAGGGCCACCTCTCCACAACAGTAACGGCCACTAAAACAGAAGTAACCTTTGCCAAAATAACCTTTCAACAATGGTTAGTTAAGCAGTGACTGACGAATGGTGTATACAAAACCCCATTATTATTAAAAAAAGGTCACCAAACTTGATCCCTGCCGTGCATCGTTGGTCTCTGTTTCTGTTTAGTTTGTGTTTTATTGATATAATTTGATTGTGTAACGTACAATTTATGTGGTAAAATAATCATTTTTTGAGAAAAGAAAATGTTGCATCCCCACCCCTCTGCCCCCCCAAAATAAACAACAACAACAACAGGTGCCATGTTATACACCTACCTCCCCATTACGGCTGCCTCTCTAGAACAGCCACTTTCCACCATCCCCAATGTCGTGGTTGTGGAGAGGCTGGACTGTATATGGATCTCTGTGATAACTGCACGTAATGTTTTGGCTTGTCTCAGCGACATCTTTGACACTTTTTTTTTTTATTATCTCTGGAAAGTGCTGAAAAAATTCATAATCAATCTTTGCAGTCTTTTGTATGACTCTTAAGCAATTTCCTGAATATCTTGGATAACATGTTTTTTCCCTTCCAGACCCATGTCCCAAGCAGGTCGTCCAGTCAGTGGATTTGTCAGGCCAGGAACACAAAGTGGAAGACCTGGAACTATGGAGCAAGCCATAAGGACCCCTCGTACTGCACAAACAGCAAGGTATGTGGTATGACGACTGTTGACACACTAAACACTTTGTCGTGCATAACATTTTCATGACTGATTTAGCATTTTATCCCCACTTTCTTTCTCAGACCAGTGACAAGTGCATCTGGTCGACATGTTCGTCTGGGCACTGTAAGTATCAGCTAATCTTGATGGTATTAAACTCATTGATGTTAGAGCTTTTTTGTTTCATTACTTGGCAACTGAGCTTAAATTTACGATGTTCGTCTCGGCACTGTAAGTATCAGCTAATCTTGATGGTATTAAACTCATTGACGTTAGAGCTTTTTTGTCTCATTACTTGGCAACTGAGCTTAAATTTACGATCTTTGTGCATTTGTTTTGCATTATAAAACAAAATAAAATGTATGTATGTAAAACAAAGATGTGAGAATTTTATACCTAATTGTTTACTTTTAAAAAATGTTTGACATTAAATTTTGAGGTTGATTTATGTTGCTTCTGACAGTCCCCATCTCTGCAATCCAGCCACTCTACTACTTAAAAATTTCTATTTCTTCCAGGCATCCATGTTGTCGCAGCCAGATGGACCATTTATAAATATTGCAAAGCTCAACTTGTCCAAATATGCACAAAGGCAAAATCTTGCAAAGGTACAGTTTAAGAAATTATGAATAGAATGTTAAAATTCAAAAATCTTAAAAAAATTGGGTGGGGGTGTGCAGTGAGTTTCTTGAAACCCTTGCAATACCTTGTATCAGGGCCAAAATTCGCACTTTTCTCTACCCTATTTCAGGCCTTACCCAACTTTCCTTTGCCCTATTTTAAATCTTTTTTGTCATCATGTAAAATGGCTATATGTGAACAGAATATTTCATTGTCATTGTATGTCGGGTGAGTTTGGTTGTGGCTTTATATTAACTTGTCTTCATAAAGTAACCTCTCTTTTGTTCCCAATAAGTCATCAGTAGACACAAAAAAAAGATATGGAATAAATGTTAATTTGTTTTGCCGTTTCTCATACAGGTTCTGTTTGAATATATTTTCCACCATGAAAATGATGTTAGAAATGTAAGTAATTAATGAGGAATGATTATGGCGCTCCAGTTAAATAATACAAAATTTATTTATTGCTAACTGTATTACCTGATAAAATTAAATTATCATTAGGTCATAAAACCCAAATTGTCAGTCTTATAAATCAGAAAGCTGAAACATTGCTATCAACAGTGAGGGCTTTGTGAGTATGAGTGAGAATGGTGAAGTATGTCACATTGAAATAGTGTTTCCTTTTTAATGGTACAGGTAAAATTAACTAAAGGTGGTGCACAAAATATTCTGTGGAAGGTTTTTGCCAGTTACTTTAATTTGATTCATTGCCTGNGCTAATCTTGATGGTATTAAACTCATTGACGTTAGAGCTTTTTTGTTTCATTACTTGGCAACTGAGCTTAAATTTACGATGTTCGTCTCGGCACTGTAAGTATCAGCTAATCTTGATGGTATTAAACTCATTGACGTTAGAGCTTTTTTGTTTCATTACTTGGCAACTGAGCTTAAATTTACGATGTTCGTCTCGGCACTGTAAGTATCAGCTAATCTTGATGGTATTAAACTCATTGACGTTAGAGCTTTTTTGTTTCATTACTTGGCAACTGAGCTTAAATTTACGATGTTCGTCTCGGCACTGTAAGTATCAGCTAATCTTGATGGTATTAAACTCATTGACGTTAGAGCTTTTTTGTTTCATTACTTGGCAACTGAGCTTAAATTTACGATGTTCGTCTCGGCACTGTAAGTATCAGCTAATCTTGATGGTATTAAACTCATTGACGTTAGAGCTTTTTTGTTTCATTACTTGGCAACTGAGCTTAAATTTACGATGTTCGTCTCGGCACTGTAAGTATCAGCTAATCTTGATGGTATTAAACTCATTGACGTTAGAGCTTTTTTGTTTCATTACTTGGCAACTGAGCTTAAATTTACGATGTTCGTCTCGGCACTGTAAGTATCAGCTAATCTTGATGGTATTAAACTCATTGACGTTAGAGCTTTTTTGTTTCATTACTTGGCAACTGAGCTTAAATTTACGATGTTCGTCTCGGCACTGTAAGTATCAGCTAATCTTGATGGTATTAAACTCATTGACGTTAGAGCTTTTTTGTTTCATTACTTGGCAACTGAGCTTAAATTTACGATGTTCGTCTCGGCACTGTAAGTATCAGCTAATCTTGATGGTATTAAACTCATTGACGTTAGAGCTTTTTTGTTTCATTACTTGGCAACTGAGCTTAAATTTACGATGTTCGTCTCGGCACTGTAAGTATCAGCTAATCTTGATGGTATTAAACTCATTGACGTTAGAGCTTTTTTGTTTCATTACTTGGCAACTGAGCTTAAATTTACGATGTTCGTCTCGGCACTGTAAGTATCAGCTAATCTTGATGGTATTAAACTCATTGACGTTAGAGCTTTTTTGTTTCATTACTTGGCAACTGAGCTTAAATTTACGATGTTCGTCTCGGCACTGTAAGTATCAGCTAATCTTGATGGTATTAAACTCATTGACGTTAGAGCTTTTTTGTTTCATTACTTGGCAACTGAGCTTAAATTTACGATGTTCGTCTCGGCACTGTAAGTATCAGCTAATCTTGATGGTATTAAACTCATTGACGTTAGAGCTTTTTTGTTTCATTACTTGGCAACTGAGCTTAAATTTACGATGTTCGTCTCGGCACTGTAAGTATCAGCTAATCTTGATGGTATTAAACTCATTGACGTTAGAGCTTTTTTGTTTCATTACTTGGCAACTGAGCTTAAATTTACGATGTTCGTCTCGGCACTGTAAGTATCAGCTAATCTTGATGGTATTAAACTCATTGACGTTAGAGCTTTTTTGTTTCATTACTTGGCAACTGAGCTTAAATTTACGATGTTCGTCTCGGCACTGTAAGTATCAGCTAATCTTGATGGTATTAAACTCATTGACGTTAGAGCTTTTTTGTTTCATTACTTGGCAACTGAGCTTAAATTTACGATGTTCGTCTCGGCACTGTAAGTATCAGCTAATCTTGATGGTATTAAACTCATTGACGTTAGAGCTTTTTTGTTTCATTACTTGGCAACTGAGCTTAAATTTACGATGTTCGTCTCGGCACTGTAAGTATCAGCTAATCTTGATGGTATTAAACTCATTGACGTTAGAGCTTTTTTGTTTCATTACTTGGCAACTGAGCTTAAATTTACGATGTTCGTCTCGGCACTGTAAGTATCAGCTAATCTTGATGGTATTAAACTCATTGACGTTAGAGCTTTTTTGTTTCATTACTTGGCAACTGAGCTTAAATTTACGATGTTCGTCTCGGCACTGTAAGTATCAGCTAATCTTGATGGTATTAAACTCATTGACGTTAGAGCTTTTTTGTTTCATTACTTGGCAACTGAGCTTAAATTTACGATGTTCGTCTCGGCACTGTAAGTATCAGCTAATCTTGATGGTATTAAACTCATTGACGTTAGAGCTTTTTTGTTTCATTACTTGGCAACTGAGCTTAAATTTACGATGTTCGTCTCGGCACTGTAAGTATCAGCTAATCTTGATGGTATTAAACTCATTGACGTTAGAGCTTTTTTGTTTCATTACTTGGCAACTGAGCTTAAATTTACGATGTTCGTCTCGGCACTGTAAGTATCAGCTAATCTTGATGGTATTAAACTCATTGACGTTAGAGCTTTTTTGTTTCATTACTTGGCAACTGAGCTTAAATTTACGATGTTCGTCTCGGCACTGTAAGTATCAGCTAATCTTGATGGTATTAAACTCATTGACGTTAGAGCTTTTTTGTTTCATTACTTGGCAACTGAGCTTAAATTTACGATGTTCGTCTCGGCACTGTAAGTATCAGCTAATCTTGATGGTATTAAACTCATTGACGTTAGAGCTTTTTTGTTTCATTACTTGGCAACTGAGCTTAAATTTACGATGTTCGTCTCGGCACTGTAAGTATCAGCTAATCTTGATGGTATTAAACTCATTGACGTTAGAGCTTTTTTGTTTCATTACTTGGCAACTGAGCTTAAATTTACGATGTTCGTCTCGGCACTGTAAGTATCAGCTAATCTTGATGGTATTAAACTCATTGACGTTAGAGCTTTTTTGTTTCATTACTTGGCAACTGAGCTTAAATTTACGATGTTCGTCTCGGCACTGTAAGTATCAGCTAATCTTGATGGTATTAAACTCATTGACGTTAGAGCTTTTTTGTTTCATTACTTGGCAACTGAGCTTAAATTTACGATGTTCGTCTCGGCACTGTAAGTATCAGCTAATCTTGATGGTATTAAACTCATTGACGTTAGAGCTTTTTTGTTTCATTACTTGGCAACTGAGCTTAAATTTACGATGTTCGTCTCGGCACTGTAAGTATCAGCTAATCTTGATGGTATTAAACTCATTGACGTTAGAGCTTTTTTGTTTCATTACTTGGCAACTGAGCTTAAATTTACGATGTTCGTCTCGGCACTGTAAGTATCAGCTAATCTTGATGGTATTAAACTCATTGACGTTAGAGCTTTTTTGTTTCATTACTTGGCAACTGAGCTTAAATTTACGATGTTCGTCTCGGCACTGTAAGTATCAGCTAATCTTGATGGTATTAAACTCATTGACGTTAGAGCTTTTTTGTTTCATTACTTGGCAACTGAGCTTAAATTTACGATGTTCGTCTCGGCACTGTAAGTATCAGCTAATCTTGATGGTATTAAACTCATTGACGTTAGAGCTTTTTTGTTTCATTACTTGGCAACTGAGCTTAAATTTACGATGTTCGTCTCGGCACTGTAAGTATCAGCTAATCTTGATGGTATTAAACTCATTGACGTTAGAGCTTTTTTGTTTCATTACTTGGCAACTGAGCTTAAATTTACGATGTTCGTCTCGGCACTGTAAGTATCAGCTAATCTTGATGGTATTAAACTCATTGACGTTAGAGCTTTTTTGTTTCATTACTTGGCAACTGAGCTTAAATTTACGATGTTCGTCTCGGCACTGTAAGTATCAGCTAATCTTGATGGTATTAAACTCATTGACGTTAGAGCTTTTTTGTTTCATTACTTGGCAACTGAGCTTAAATTTACGATGTTCGTCTCGGCACTGTAAGTATCAGCTAATCTTGATGGTATTAAACTCATTGACGTTAGAGCTTTTTTGTTTCATTACTTGGCAACTGAGCTTAAATTTACGATGTTCGTCTCGGCACTGTAAGTATCAGCTAATCTTGATGGTATTAAACTCATTGACGTTAGAGCTTTTTTGTTTCATTACTTGGCAACTGAGCTTAAATTTACGATGTTCGTCTCGGCACTGTAAGTATCAGCTAATCTTGATGGTATTAAACTCATTGACGTTAGAGCTTTTTTGTTTCATTACTTGGCAACTGAGCTTAAATTTACGATGTTCGTCTCGGCACTGTAAGTATCAGCTAATCTTGATGGTATTAAACTCATTGACGTTAGAGCTTTTTTGTTTCATTACTTGGCAACTGAGCTTAAATTTACGATGTTCGTCTCGGCACTGTAAGTATCAGCTAATCTTGATGGTATTAAACTCATTGACGTTAGAGCTTTTTTGTTTCATTACTTGGCAACTGAGCTTAAATTTACGATGTTCGTCTCGGCACTGTAAGTATCAGCTAATCTTGATGGTATTAAACTCATTGACGTTAGAGCTTTTTTGTTTCATTACTTGGCAACTGAGCTTAAATTTACGATGTTCGTCTCGGCACTGTAAGTATCAGCTAATCTTGATGGTATTAAACTCATTGACGTTAGAGCTTTTTTGTTTCATTACTTGGCAACTGAGCTTAAATTTACGATGTTCGTCTCGGCACTGTAAGTATCAGCTAATCTTGATGGTATTAAACTCATTGACGTTAGAGCTTTTTTGTTTCATTACTTGGCAACTGAGCTTAAATTTACGATGTTCGTCTCGGCACTGTAAGTATCAGCTAATCTTGATGGTATTAAACTCATTGACGTTAGAGCTTTTTTGTTTCATTACTTGGCAACTGAGCTTAAATTTACGATGTTCGTCTCGGCACTGTAAGTATCAGCTAATCTTGATGGTATTAAACTCATTGACGTTAGAGCTTTTTTGTTTCATTACTTGGCAACTGAGCTTAAATTTACGATGTTCGTCTCGGCACTGTAAGTATCAGCTAATCTTGATGGTATTAAACTCATTGACGTTAGAGCTTTTTTGTTTCATTACTTGGCAACTGAGCTTAAATTTACGATGTTCGTCTCGGCACTGTAAGTATCAGCTAATCTTGATGGTATTAAACTCATTGACGTTAGAGCTTTTTTGTTTCATTACTTGGCAACTGAGCTTAAATTTACGATGTTCGTCTCGGCACTGTAAGTATCAGCTAATCTTGATGGTATTAAACTCATTGACGTTAGAGCTTTTTTGTTTCATTACTTGGCAACTGAGCTTAAATTTACGATGTTCGTCTCGGCACTGTAAGTATCAGCTAATCTTGATGGTATTAAACTCATTGACGTTAGAGCTTTTTTGTTTCATTACTTGGCAACTGAGCTTAAATTTACGATGTTCGTCTCGGCACTGTAAGTATCAGCTAATCTTGATGGTATTAAACTCATTGACGTTAGAGCTTTTTTGTTTCATTACTTGGCAACTGAGCTTAAATTTACGATGTTCGTCTCGGCACTGTAAGTATCAGCTAATCTTGATGGTATTAAACTCATTGACGTTAGAGCTTTTTTGTTTCATTACTTGGCAACTGAGCTTAAATTTACGATGTTCGTCTCGGCACTGTAAGTATCAGCTAATCTTGATGGTATTAAACTCATTGACGTTAGAGCTTTTTTGTTTCATTACTTGGCAACTGAGCTTAAATTTACGATGTTCGTCTCGGCACTGTAAGTATCAGCTAATCTTGATGGTATTAAACTCATTGACGTTAGAGCTTTTTTGTTTCATTACTTGGCAACTGAGCTTAAATTTACGATGTTCGTCTCGGCACTGTAAGTATCAGCTAATCTTGATGGTATTAAACTCATTGACGTTAGAGCTTTTTTGTCTCATTACTTGGCAACTGAGCTTAAATTTACGATCTTTGTGCATTTGTTTTGCATTATAAAACAAAATAAAATGTATGTATGTAAAACAAAGATGTGAGAATTTTATACCTAATTGTTTACTTTTAAAAAATGTTTGACATTAAATTTTGAGGTTGATTTATGTTGCTTCTGACAGTCCCCATCTCTGCAATCCAGCCACTCTACTACTTAAAAATTTCTATTTCTTCCAGGCATCCATGTTGTCGCAGCCAGATGGACCATTTATAAATATTGCAAAGCTCAACTTGTCCAAATATGCACAAAGGCAAAATCTTGCAAAGGTACAGTTTAAGAAATTATGAATAGAATGTTAAAATTCAAAAATCTTAAAAAAATTGGGTGGGGGTGTGCAGTGAGTTTCTTGAAACCCTTGCAATACCTTGTATCAGGGCCAAAATTCGCACTTTTCTCTACCCTATTTCAGGCCTTACCCAACTTTCCTTTGCCCTATTTTAAATCTTTTTTGTCATCATGTAAAATGGCTATATGTGAACAGAATATTTCATTGTCATTGTATGTCGGGTGAGTTTGGTTGTGGCTTTATATTAACTTGTCTTCATAAAGTAACCTCTCTTTTGTTCCCAATAAGTCATCAGTAGACACAAAAAAAAGATATGGAATAAATGTTAATTTGTTTTGCCGTTTCTCATACAGGTTCTGTTTGAATATATTTTCCACCATGAAAATGATGTTAGAAATGTAAGTAATTAATGAGGAATGATTATGGCGCTCCAGTTAAATAATACAAAATTTATTTATTGCTAACTGTATTACCTGATAAAATTAAATTATCATTAGGTCATAAAACCCAAATTGTCAGTCTTATAAATCAGAAAGCTGAAACATTGCTATCAACAGTGAGGGCTTTGTGAGTATGAGTGAGAATGGTGAAGTATGTCACATTGAAATAGTGTTTCCTTTTTAATGGTACAGGTAAAATTAACTAAAGGTGGTGCACAAAATATTCTGTGGAAGGTTTTTGCCAGTTACTTTAATTTGATTCATTGCCTGGCTGAAAGAAAAAAAATTAAAATTCTGCTCTAGATTGGATAGTTTAATTATTGCCATTTCTTTTATTGCAAATTCTGAAGGTTTCCTATGTCTACACAATGTACAATCTTTCAATGTACAATCTCCAATATATTTGATAATTTTCTCTGTTTTTGTCACCCATCTGCTTGACATTGTAATACCTTCTAGGACTGCGTGGAGGGTTAAAACTATGACAATTATTAATTTTCAGGCTTAAGCAGTACTTTATTCTGTTTCTTATAGGCATTAGAACTTGCAGCCAAAGCAACAGAAGAATGCCAGTTTAAAGACTGGTGGTGGAAAGTTCAACTGGCAAAAAGTTATTACAGGTCTGTTGGAAGTAATAATTATACATTTATATGGGGTTAATACTATGAAATATTCAAAAGCATGTTACATATAAAAAGAAGCTGACAAACTAAAACAAAGATCTTTAAAAAGCATAAAATGTGCTAAAATACAAAAATATCAAATGGCTTATGTAACTAAGATTTGCAAAAATTATAAGCAGTCATAAGTACTCATCCCATAACAGAAGAAACAAGCTTGTTCACTTCCTCTTCTTACTGTTTTGCCCAGAAAATGGTCATCTTGCCAAAGATGCATCATTTTAGATTTGATTGTGATTGTTGAGCATTTAGTCAACCATGGAAGATGGCAATAACTGATGCAACCATTGTTGACACACTTATCCTGTTTCCTGATTGGTTGATTCCAACTTTTTTTCTAGCTAAACCTGATTAAGTATGAGGGAGGCTGAGTGGTTGGAGCACTGGACTTGAAATCCGGAGGTTGGGTTTCAAGTACTGTTCTGACCACTAGCTGGTGTTGCTCTCAGCAGTCATGAGTTCAGTTCCACTGCCATACCGGTAAATAGCAAACTGGTCTGCCTTGTGCCAGTTGGGATTTTTAACCATGTTGTTTTCATTTACATTATTTGTTTCAATTTTTTTTCCACTGACGCAGCACAATGGAGTGGTAATAAAGATGTTTATTTTTGAGTAAGTTGGTCAACATGTACTAAGTGTTCGTTTTGAATCCAGACTTGGTATGTATCGTGATGCTGAGAGACAGCTCAAATCAGCTCTGCGTGATCAAGATGTGGTGGATACATATCTGTATCTCTGTAAAGTGTATAGAAGACTGGATCAGCCATTAACTGCTACTGAAGTATACAAAAAGGTTTGTCTTTGTCCNACTGTAAGTATCAGCTAATCTTGATGGTATTAAACTCATTGACGTTAGAGCTTTTTTGTTTCATTACTTGGCAACTGAGCTTAAATTTACGATGTTCGTCTCGGCACTGTAAGTATCAGCTAATCTTGATGGTATTAAACTCATTGACGTTAGAGCTTTTTTGTTTCATTACTTGGCAACTGAGCTTAAATTTACGATGTTCGTCTCGGCACTGTAAGTATCAGCTAATCTTGATGGTATTAAACTCATTGACGTTAGAGCTTTTTTGTTTCATTACTTGGCAACTGAGCTTAAATTTACGATGTTCGTCTCGGCACTGTAAGTATCAGCTAATCTTGATGGTATTAAACTCATTGACGTTAGAGCTTTTTTGTTTCATTACTTGGCAACTGAGCTTAAATTTACGATGTTCGTCTCGGCACTGTAAGTATCAGCTAATCTTGATGGTATTAAACTCATTGACGTTAGAGCTTTTTTGTTTCATTACTTGGCAACTGAGCTTAAATTTACGATGTTCGTCTCGGCACTGTAAGTATCAGCTAATCTTGATGGTATTAAACTCATTGACGTTAGAGCTTTTTTGTTTCATTACTTGGCAACTGAGCTTAAATTTACGATGTTCGTCTCGGCACTGTAAGTATCAGCTAATCTTGATGGTATTAAACTCATTGACGTTAGAGCTTTTTTGTTTCATTACTTGGCAACTGAGCTTAAATTTACGATGTTCGTCTCGGCACTGTAAGTATCAGCTAATCTTGATGGTATTAAACTCATTGACGTTAGAGCTTTTTTGTTTCATTACTTGGCAACTGAGCTTAAATTTACGATGTTCGTCTCGGCACTGTAAGTATCAGCTAATCTTGATGGTATTAAACTCATTGACGTTAGAGCTTTTTTGTTTCATTACTTGGCAACTGAGCTTAAATTTACGATGTTCGTCTCGGCACTGTAAGTATCAGCTAATCTTGATGGTATTAAACTCATTGACGTTAGAGCTTTTTTGTTTCATTACTTGGCAACTGAGCTTAAATTTACGATGTTCGTCTCGGCACTGTAAGTATCAGCTAATCTTGATGGTATTAAACTCATTGACGTTAGAGCTTTTTTGTTTCATTACTTGGCAACTGAGCTTAAATTTACGATGTTCGTCTCGGCACTGTAAGTATCAGCTAATCTTGATGGTATTAAACTCATTGACGTTAGAGCTTTTTTGTTTCATTACTTGGCAACTGAGCTTAAATTTACGATGTTCGTCTCGGCACTGTAAGTATCAGCTAATCTTGATGGTATTAAACTCATTGACGTTAGAGCTTTTTTGTTTCATTACTTGGCAACTGAGCTTAAATTTACGATGTTCGTCTCGGCACTGTAAGTATCAGCTAATCTTGATGGTATTAAACTCATTGACGTTAGAGCTTTTTTGTTTCATTACTTGGCAACTGAGCTTAAATTTACGATGTTCGTCTCGGCACTGTAAGTATCAGCTAATCTTGATGGTATTAAACTCATTGACGTTAGAGCTTTTTTGTTTCATTACTTGGCAACTGAGCTTAAATTTACGATGTTCGTCTCGGCACTGTAAGTATCAGCTAATCTTGATGGTATTAAACTCATTGACGTTAGAGCTTTTTTGTTTCATTACTTGGCAACTGAGCTTAAATTTACGATGTTCGTCTCGGCACTGTAAGTATCAGCTAATCTTGATGGTATTAAACTCATTGACGTTAGAGCTTTTTTGTTTCATTACTTGGCAACTGAGCTTAAATTTACGATGTTCGTCTCGGCACTGTAAGTATCAGCTAATCTTGATGGTATTAAACTCATTGACGTTAGAGCTTTTTTGTTTCATTACTTGGCAACTGAGCTTAAATTTACGATGTTCGTCTCGGCACTGTAAGTATCAGCTAATCTTGATGGTATTAAACTCATTGACGTTAGAGCTTTTTTGTTTCATTACTTGGCAACTGAGCTTAAATTTACGATGTTCGTCTCGGCACTGTAAGTATCAGCTAATCTTGATGGTATTAAACTCATTGACGTTAGAGCTTTTTTGTTTCATTACTTGGCAACTGAGCTTAAATTTACGATGTTCGTCTCGGCACTGTAAGTATCAGCTAATCTTGATGGTATTAAACTCATTGACGTTAGAGCTTTTTTGTTTCATTACTTGGCAACTGAGCTTAAATTTACGATGTTCGTCTCGGCACTGTAAGTATCAGCTAATCTTGATGGTATTAAACTCATTGACGTTAGAGCTTTTTTGTTTCATTACTTGGCAACTGAGCTTAAATTTACGATGTTCGTCTCGGCACTGTAAGTATCAGCTAATCTTGATGGTATTAAACTCATTGACGTTAGAGCTTTTTTGTTTCATTACTTGGCAACTGAGCTTAAATTTACGATGTTCGTCTCGGCACTGTAAGTATCAGCTAATCTTGATGGTATTAAACTCATTGACGTTAGAGCTTTTTTGTTTCATTACTTGGCAACTGAGCTTAAATTTACGATGTTCGTCTCGGCACTGTAAGTATCAGCTAATCTTGATGGTATTAAACTCATTGACGTTAGAGCTTTTTTGTTTCATTACTTGGCAACTGAGCTTAAATTTACGATGTTCGTCTCGGCACTGTAAGTATCAGCTAATCTTGATGGTATTAAACTCATTGACGTTAGAGCTTTTTTGTTTCATTACTTGGCAACTGAGCTTAAATTTACGATGTTCGTCTCGGCACTGTAAGTATCAGCTAATCTTGATGGTATTAAACTCATTGACGTTAGAGCTTTTTTGTTTCATTACTTGGCAACTGAGCTTAAATTTACGATGTTCGTCTCGGCACTGTAAGTATCAGCTAATCTTGATGGTATTAAACTCATTGACGTTAGAGCTTTTTTGTTTCATTACTTGGCAACTGAGCTTAAATTTACGATGTTCGTCTCGGCACTGTAAGTATCAGCTAATCTTGATGGTATTAAACTCATTGACGTTAGAGCTTTTTTGTTTCATTACTTGGCAACTGAGCTTAAATTTACGATGTTCGTCTCGGCACTGTAAGTATCAGCTAATCTTGATGGTATTAAACTCATTGACGTTAGAGCTTTTTTGTTTCATTACTTGGCAACTGAGCTTAAATTTACGATGTTCGTCTCGGCACTGTAAGTATCAGCTAATCTTGATGGTATTAAACTCATTGACGTTAGAGCTTTTTTGTTTCATTACTTGGCAACTGAGCTTAAATTTACGATGTTCGTCTCGGCACTGTAAGTATCAGCTAATCTTGATGGTATTAAACTCATTGACGTTAGAGCTTTTTTGTTTCATTACTTGGCAACTGAGCTTAAATTTACGATGTTCGTCTCGGCACTGTAAGTATCAGCTAATCTTGATGGTATTAAACTCATTGACGTTAGAGCTTTTTTGTTTCATTACTTGGCAACTGAGCTTAAATTTACGATGTTCGTCTCGGCACTGTAAGTATCAGCTAATCTTGATGGTATTAAACTCATTGACGTTAGAGCTTTTTTGTTTCATTACTTGGCAACTGAGCTTAAATTTACGATGTTCGTCTCGGCACTGTAAGTATCAGCTAATCTTGATGGTATTAAACTCATTGACGTTAGAGCTTTTTTGTTTCATTACTTGGCAACTGAGCTTAAATTTACGATGTTCGTCTCGGCACTGTAAGTATCAGCTAATCTTGATGGTATTAAACTCATTGACGTTAGAGCTTTTTTGTTTCATTACTTGGCAACTGAGCTTAAATTTACGATGTTCGTCTCGGCACTGTAAGTATCAGCTAATCTTGATGGTATTAAACTCATTGACGTTAGAGCTTTTTTGTTTCATTACTTGGCAACTGAGCTTAAATTTACGATGTTCGTCTCGGCACTGTAAGTATCAGCTAATCTTGATGGTATTAAACTCATTGACGTTAGAGCTTTTTTGTTTCATTACTTGGCAACTGAGCTTAAATTTACGATGTTCGTCTCGGCACTGTAAGTATCAGCTAATCTTGATGGTATTAAACTCATTGACGTTAGAGCTTTTTTGTTTCATTACTTGGCAACTGAGCTTAAATTTACGATGTTCGTCTCGGCACTGTAAGTATCAGCTAATCTTGATGGTATTAAACTCATTGACGTTAGAGCTTTTTTGTTTCATTACTTGGCAACTGAGCTTAAATTTACGATGTTCGTCTCGGCACTGTAAGTATCAGCTAATCTTGATGGTATTAAACTCATTGACGTTAGAGCTTTTTTGTTTCATTACTTGGCAACTGAGCTTAAATTTACGATGTTCGTCTCGGCACTGTAAGTATCAGCTAATCTTGATGGTATTAAACTCATTGACGTTAGAGCTTTTTTGTTTCATTACTTGGCAACTGAGCTTAAATTTACGATGTTCGTCTCGGCACTGTAAGTATCAGCTAATCTTGATGGTATTAAACTCATTGACGTTAGAGCTTTTTTGTTTCATTACTTGGCAACTGAGCTTAAATTTACGATGTTCGTCTCGGCACTGTAAGTATCAGCTAATCTTGATGGTATTAAACTCATTGACGTTAGAGCTTTTTTGTTTCATTACTTGGCAACTGAGCTTAAATTTACGATGTTCGTCTCGGCACTGTAAGTATCAGCTAATCTTGATGGTATTAAACTCATTGACGTTAGAGCTTTTTTGTTTCATTACTTGGCAACTGAGCTTAAATTTACGATGTTCGTCTCGGCACTGTAAGTATCAGCTAATCTTGATGGTATTAAACTCATTGACGTTAGAGCTTTTTTGTTTCATTACTTGGCAACTGAGCTTAAATTTACGATGTTCGTCTCGGCACTGTAAGTATCAGCTAATCTTGATGGTATTAAACTCATTGACGTTAGAGCTTTTTTGTTTCATTACTTGGCAACTGAGCTTAAATTTACGATGTTCGTCTCGGCACTGTAAGTATCAGCTAATCTTGATGGTATTAAACTCATTGACGTTAGAGCTTTTTTGTTTCATTACTTGGCAACTGAGCTTAAATTTACGATGTTCGTCTCGGCACTGTAAGTATCAGCTAATCTTGATGGTATTAAACTCATTGACGTTAGAGCTTTTTTGTCTCATTACTTGGCAACTGAGCTTAAATTTACGATCTTTGTGCATTTGTTTTGCATTATAAAACAAAATAAAATGTATGTATGTAAAACAAAGATGTGAGAATTTTATACCTAATTGTTTACTTTTAAAAAATGTTTGACATTAAATTTTGAGGTTGATTTATGTTGCTTCTGACAGTCCCCATCTCTGCAATCCAGCCACTCTACTACTTAAAAATTTCTATTTCTTCCAGGCATCCATGTTGTCGCAGCCAGATGGACCATTTATAAATATTGCAAAGCTCAACTTGTCCAAATATGCACAAAGGCAAAATCTTGCAAAGGTACAGTTTAAGAAATTATGAATAGAATGTTAAAATTCAAAAATCTTAAAAAAATTGGGTGGGGGTGTGCAGTGAGTTTCTTGAAACCCTTGCAATACCTTGTATCAGGGCCAAAATTCGCACTTTTCTCTACCCTATTTCAGGCCTTACCCAACTTTCCTTTGCCCTATTTTAAATCTTTTTTGTCATCATGTAAAATGGCTATATGTGAACAGAATATTTCATTGTCATTGTATGTCGGGTGAGTTTGGTTGTGGCTTTATATTAACTTGTCTTCATAAAGTAACCTCTCTTTTGTTCCCAATAAGTCATCAGTAGACACAAAAAAAAGATATGGAATAAATGTTAATTTGTTTTGCCGTTTCTCATACAGGTTCTGTTTGAATATATTTTCCACCATGAAAATGATGTTAGAAATGTAAGTAATTAATGAGGAATGATTATGGCGCTCCAGTTAAATAATACAAAATTTATTTATTGCTAACTGTATTACCTGATAAAATTAAATTATCATTAGGTCATAAAACCCAAATTGTCAGTCTTATAAATCAGAAAGCTGAAACATTGCTATCAACAGTGAGGGCTTTGTGAGTATGAGTGAGAATGGTGAAGTATGTCACATTGAAATAGTGTTTCCTTTTTAATGGTACAGGTAAAATTAACTAAAGGTGGTGCACAAAATATTCTGTGGAAGGTTTTTGCCAGTTACTTTAATTTGATTCATTGCCTGGCTGAAAGAAAAAAAATTAAAATTCTGCTCTAGATTGGATAGTTTAATTATTGCCATTTCTTTTATTGCAAATTCTGAAGGTTTCCTATGTCTACACAATGTACAATCTTTCAATGTACAATCTCCAATATATTTGATAATTTTCTCTGTTTTTGTCACCCATCTGCTTGACATTGTAATACCTTCTAGGACTGCGTGGAGGGTTAAAACTATGACAATTATTAATTTTCAGGCTTAAGCAGTACTTTATTCTGTTTCTTATAGGCATTAGAACTTGCAGCCAAAGCAACAGAAGAATGCCAGTTTAAAGACTGGTGGTGGAAAGTTCAACTGGCAAAAAGTTATTACAGGTCTGTTGGAAGTAATAATTATACATTTATATGGGGTTAATACTATGAAATATTCAAAAGCATGTTACATATAAAAAGAAGCTGACAAACTAAAACAAAGATCTTTAAAAAGCATAAAATGTGCTAAAATACAAAAATATCAAATGGCTTATGTAACTAAGATTTGCAAAAATTATAAGCAGTCATAAGTACTCATCCCATAACAGAAGAAACAAGCTTGTTCACTTCCTCTTCTTACTGTTTTGCCCAGAAAATGGTCATCTTGCCAAAGATGCATCATTTTAGATTTGATTGTGATTGTTGAGCATTTAGTCAACCATGGAAGATGGCAATAACTGATGCAACCATTGTTGACACACTTATCCTGTTTCCTGATTGGTTGATTCCAACTTTTTTTCTAGCTAAACCTGATTAAGTATGAGGGAGGCTGAGTGGTTGGAGCACTGGACTTGAAATCCGGAGGTTGGGTTTCAAGTACTGTTCTGACCACTAGCTGGTGTTGCTCTCAGCAGTCATGAGTTCAGTTCCACTGCCATACCGGTAAATAGCAAACTGGTCTGCCTTGTGCCAGTTGGGATTTTTAACCATGTTGTTTTCATTTACATTATTTGTTTCAATTTTTTTTCCACTGACGCAGCACAATGGAGTGGTAATAAAGATGTTTATTTTTGAGTAAGTTGGTCAACATGTACTAAGTGTTCGTTTTGAATCCAGACTTGGTATGTATCGTGATGCTGAGAGACAGCTCAAATCAGCTCTGCGTGATCAAGATGTGGTGGATACATATCTGTATCTCTGTAAAGTGTATAGAAGACTGGATCAGCCATTAACTGCTACTGAAGTATACAAAAAGGTTTGTCTTTGTCCCTGGATTACACACCTTTATACCATGCCATAGAAAATACAGCCAATCAGAATACAGGAAAGCTGTTGGTTATTCGACAGCATTACATCCAACCTTCCCATCATGCACTGCACACATATGTTGCATTGACTGTGTTGGCTGCTGAATTTTCTATGGCATGATATAAATAGTTATGCAATGCTCTTGCATGGTATTATGGAATATCATCACTTGTATTTTCTCGGTATGCCCACTTGCCGAAAAAAGACTAGTGTTTATACTGAGAATATACAAGAGACTCGTAGGATATTCCATGGTATATATATAATAATTGGTTGAAAAGTCTACCAATAGAGCATCATATGGTTGAAAGACTTTGTCAACGTCTACAGTGTACATTGTGTGTGCCTACATATGTATGACCATTTGCTAGTCACAAAGACTAGGAAGGAATTTTTACCTTGTATAAAAAGAGTTATCAGCTCAACTCAAATCAACTCAGACCTTCTTTCATACTTTCCCTAACCCGCTGAACAGAATGTAATACTAATGCTGTCAGTGATCGCAGCTTCAACAGAGATGTATTTGTTTAATTGATTAAAGGACTTTTTCCTGTGATAAAAGTCACGTTTCTTCCCTGAAGACAAAAACAGTTGCTTGAACGTGAACAGGATGTTGCTTTGTATGCAGGTTTTTAAAGAATACCTAAAAGATATTCCCAGCTATAACCACTTCCTCTAGAGGTCTGCAGATCTACTAAGTCAATCGGTTATAGTTGCGTAAGACCCATCAAAATTCAGTTATAAAGATCATGACACAGCTTGTTTTGTTTAGTAAGTATTGGTTAATAAAACAACTTTTATCAAATCTCTCATTTTATTGTTGCAGGCATTAGAGAAATTTCCTGGAGAGACGACTCTTCTGACCGGAATTGCACGTATCCACGAGGTGAAAATCCGAGCTCTTAGTCTAAATCTGATCGATTCTTTGCTAGTTGTATTGCAACATATATGGGTTATTGACCAGGTGACCAAACAAACTTGGTCAATAAAGGATTTATTATATGGGTTATGGGGAAATTTTCCTTGCGAGACAGCGGGTAGTCCCGAGTGGGCGAGATAGCACCATCTTGCCTGCTCGGGTAGCCAATCACAGAGCAGGATTTGAGTCATCTTGCTCGCTCATGGAGCAAGCCATATAATAAGCTGTGCAATTGTATGAAACATAATACAGACTGCACCAGCCCGGTTTAGGACAGAATTTTACGGCAGCATTGGAGCACTTTCCAACTCCCTTGTTTTGATTTCTTGATCGTGTCTAGGAGTTGAATGACATGACCAATGCTGTGAAACTGTATAAAGAAGTGCTACATTATGACAATACGCATGTGGAGGCCATCGCTTGTATCGCTACTCATCATTTCTACACTGATCAACCAGAAATTGCGCTCAGATTTTACCGGTAAGTCTCCAACTTTTCATTTACAGGAGTTTCATCGACAGTTTTTTGTTTGTTTTATTCTGTCAGGACATGTTGCGTTAGACTTTTTGTCTATTACAGAGCTTAGGAAATGCAAAGTTATTGCAATCACGAATTTTCACTGCAATTCAGCCGCCTTCTCCAGATGGGTGTGTACAATGCAGAGCTGTTCACCAATCTAGGGCTTTGCTGTTTCTTTGCTCAGCAGTACGACATGACGCTGAACTGTTTTGAAAGAGCGTTGGCTCTGGCTTCCGACGAAAACATGGCGGATGTTTGGTACAACATTGGTCACGTGGCTGTGGTAAATAATATTTCACTTACTAATAAGGCCAATGGTCGCATTAGCACTAGAGACGAGTATCCCATCCAAGACGGGTTTCCCTTCTGTGTCGAGTTTCCCGTCCTGGTTTGAAAACGGGACGAGACGGGTTTTTGACGAAAAGCTTGTCCCATTTTACCCATCTTTTTATTCGTCCAGTCAGACGTCACCAGAGACCCATCGAAATCCGTCACGAATTCACGCTTCGACGGTGTTCTGGTCGAGTTTAGTGACAATTTTACCGAAGGGAGTGGAACAAAATGAAGGTAAAGTTTAAAAAAACTTTACGTCATGAATTCGCTCTAAGACGGAAAACTTGTCGGATGTCTCGTCCTCCAGTGTCAATACGACTAATAAGATAAATATGGAAATGCGAGAAAAGCTGCGAAAGTCATCAACAGCCGGCATTTTGATTAGTAGCTGGAATTACGGAATAGGTATTCAACATCCTTAAAAATGAAAAAGATTAATTAAAAACGCAAGCGTGAGACGTTTTACTGGAAAGGTTTTTGACGTTTGTTTTGTGGTTTCAGGGTATTGGAGACATCCAGCTTGCCTATCAGTGTTTCAGATTGGCGCTTGCATCGAACAACGACCATGCAGAGGCGTACAATAACCTGGGAGTCCTGGAAATGAGGAAGGGTCACACGGAACAGGTAAAACCGATATTATTACTGGTTCAACCCGTTTCTGATTGGGAGAAATTCCCAGGCTCAGGTTACCATAATTAGTAATGTGTGGTGTTCTTTTCCAGGCCCGCGCATTCCTCCAGGCCGCTGCCTCTCTAGCTCCTCACATGTACGAACCTCATTACAATCACGGACTGCTTTCACATAAGGTATACAATTATTTCCTTGATTACTATTGTGATTGGCCGAGAGCAGGCTAATTTGTCGTTTATTTTCAATTTGCGCCGCAGTGCAAATTAACGCGCGCTCGTTCGTAGTTTTCTCCGTCATGAAATTTACTTGACTTGTCGTATAAAAGCTTGTGCCATTAATAATTTACACTGCTTGTGATGGTTTACTCGTAGTGTAGATCCTTAATAGATACAAAGAGAAAGTGTTTTCTGCTTTTTCTCCGTAATACTGTAAGAAAAAGACTTAAGTTATAGAAACACGGATTTTAGCACGTTTTAGTATGTTGGTCTGTGGACGATTTCTCTCTCGTACATGTATGCCCTTCAGTTCCGAAATGGGCGGCTTCCGGTTCGTTTCATTACTTCCCGGATGCAGGGAACCGGAAGTCGCCCTGTATGGGAGGCTCTGTTGTGTTTGGCTGTGTAGTTAATTTCTAGTTTGTACTGTTTCTTGGTAGATTGGTGACCTACAGAGCAGCCACAGCTCGATCAGTAAATCGTTGGAAGGTTATCCCGATCACAGCGACAGCAAGGACGTGCTCAACCAACTCAAGGAAGATTTCGCTGCTTTGTGAACTTTCAATTGACTTCACTCACTGTATTATATTGTACATAGATAATACCCGAGGGCGCTCGTTTTTAGCGAATTTATAAGTTGAATGAACCAAGAACTCCAATTCAGTTGCTATCAACGGCTAGCTATGACGCTGCCGTCATTCGGAACTAAGATGAACAAAGCCTCACAAGCAGACATCAAACTGACACCCGTCTCGTAGTCGTTCCTTCCCTTCGCGTCAAGCAGTTTTTCGACATTTTGATTGAAAGGGAAGACTGCGTGACGAGAATCTCATTCCCAGAGGCCAAATTCCTTTTGGTCAGTGCTGAGAATCAGGACTCGTACCCAGTCGCTCTTTACGTGTTTTGGGGGGAGATAAATTTGGATACCAGGGTGGATCAAGGTGTGCGGGGTGTCATGGGAAGGGTCAAAGGAAAAATAGTAATTTTATTAAATGGATAGCTCCGTGCGCGGGCAAGATGAATCAAATCCTGCGCTGTGATTGGCTACCCGAGCGGGCAAGATGGGGCTATCTTGCCCGCTCGGGACTACCCGCCGTGTCCCGCAAGAAAAATTTCCCCGGAAGCCTTACAATAAATCCCTTATTGACCGAGCTTGTTCGGTCAAGATGGCTGGATATTGGCGTTGTTCTTTTTTTGCGACTTTCTGGACCTCGACTCCGTCTCGGTCCATAAACTCGCAAAAAAAGAACTTGGTCAATAACCCATATTTCTTGCCTCTTCCCAGAACTTCCCGCGCGCTCCACTCGATCCAGACCGCTTTCTCTTTGAAACAATCCAATCTGACTCGTAAATAACAACTGGGTACGAGTCTGGGACGTCTGGCCATAAACATAAAGTAAGCTGGCATTGATCACAGCGGTTTCTCTCTTGCGCATGTTCACAAACCATCATCAACCTTTGATGCATGCACATTTTGAAACCGGCCTCTTTTAAGGACTTGATGAATATAACGATGAACTGCGATATCTCCTCGATTAAAGCTCGTATAATTTGATGACAACAATGCAGTACTCAGTCTTTTTTAACCTGACTGCTCTTATGTGGAGGGGTGAATTTTAAACGCAGTCTTTTAATGGGCATTACTAGAATCGAAGAAACACCAGTTACTTGTTTACGAACATATCATTTGGAGCCACCACTATTTACTATGGCAGGGTTTCATTAACGTTTTTAGCAGGAAGGTAACTGGTTTTACAGGCGGGCAAAGCTTTTTGAGCTGAACTTCTTTGTAAGAAAGCCTTTCCACTAGATGGTCAAATGCCCGGTGCCCGGCCCTGAAACTCCAAGGAACACTGCCAATATCAAAGGTGAAGAAATCTAGAAATAGGCATGCTTTACTTTAGATACCATACAATTCATAGCATGAAAAGACCAGTCTCATCTGAGACGAACGGATTTGGGGAAGAGAGAGCACTGGGTATGACTCAGTCTTTTTTCCACCTTTCTTTCAACAACTCGACCAAGGTCCCACCCAAGATTATAATAGGCCCTTTGCACGATCCGGTCACATGGTACAAAATCACACATGCTGGTGAGCAAGTCCCGCAGTGGGACTTCCAAAACAAAGGTAGGTCCAGGTGGACTGGTACGAGTGGCATTGTTTTGGAAGTCCCACTGCGGGACTTGCTCACCAGCATGTGTGATTTTGTACCATGTGACCGGATCGTGCAAAGGG